GCTCCCCTTTGGGTAAAAAAGCTCAGTATCTCAGATGCTTCTCCATTCCCTGCTTCTCCCTAAGGTGGCAGGCTTAGCTGTTGTTCTCCAGGTGCTGGGAAGAAACATGGCATCCCTGCCCCTTCTGGTCTTCGGGTGCCAATATTTGTCCTGTTGATTTTCCCAGATGAAGCCTGAAGCTGCTATAATTCATGATCTGGTCTCTATCAGCCCACCTCAGCTCTCAGTGGTATGCTGGAGTCCTCTGAGATATGACTGTGAGCCCCAAATCCTTGGCACAGAGGCCCCAGGGAACCACTGGAGCCAGATTCCCTGTTAGGTTCTCTGCTACCTCTGGGTCCTGTCTGTATCACTGGAGTATCAAGTCACCCAGGAAATCTACAAGCAGCCTCTCCTTCTGTCTAACAAGGCTCCATCTACTTAAATTTGCCTGTCAGCTTAAGAGGCTTCCTCTCAAGTCCTAAGTGGGAATCGGGAGAGAAATGCCCCTTCCCTTAGTCACCCCTTATTTGTCTGACACATATAATAATAATAGTCTGTACTTAGATGAAGCTTAATATGTGCTTTGCATGGTTTAATTCTCAGAACCCTATGAGGAAGATGTACTATTATCATTCACATCTAATAGGTGTGGAAACCGAGGCACAGGAAGGTTGAATGACTCCCTCAGGATCACAGAGCTCTGGAGTTGAGGGTGGAGCCAGAACGAGCATCCTGGTGGCCCAGCTGCAGAATCTGTCCTCTCAGACGCTGAGCTATGCTGCTCCCCTGCCTCCTCTGAGCCCCTTGGCCTCTTCCCTTCATTCCTCCTTCTACTCCCCGCCCCCAGGCCAGAAAAAGGCAGGATTTTATTTGCCCACGTCATATGCTCTCTCTACCCTGAAGCTGGTTTTCTTACCATATAAAGAACGGCATGGGTTTGGTTTGGTTTGAACACTTTTCTTCTGCGTTTCCAGAGGGCGGCTGTATACTGATGTCACCCGTGAGGCGAACGTTTCATTCTCCCATTGTCCACTTCAGTGGAATTCTGGGAACTGCTGAGACTGGCTGGTGGCAGCTATCCAACTCCCATATGGAGATCCAGAATGTGTCCTCGAGAGCCTCACTCAGATATCAGCTCCACCCTCGGCAGCTCACTACATCCCGGAGGACATCAACAGCGTGACTGCATCCTCCGGCAGCAACAGAAATTGACCAAGCCTGGCTGGGCTGCCCTGTCCCACTGGGAGATCAGGAGCAGTGACCATGGTAAGCACCCCGTGTACCTGCAGCTGCCCAACGTGTGGCTGCCGGCCCTGGTGGCTCCACACTGAGGCCCACCCGTTGTTGCAAGGGACAACTACTTTATCTTTCTACTTTCTTCACCTGGCACCTCCAGGTGACCTCAGACAAACAGGATGGGATCGGGGCTCCTTGACCGTGTTGCCCACTGGGGCCCAAGGTTCCCCAAGATGAGCCAAGCACACTTGGAGATCTATTGTTTCTCAGATATCTGGATACTCTATCAAAACCTTTAATTATACAGTTTAAGCCTCAGGGTGGTGTGGTTCTATTGCTCAATTAGCAGTAGCTTTAAGTGTGAAGACTGCAGCTCTGTAAAGCATTATCATATAATGTGGGAAGTGCCCGCTCTCCATCAGCAACCGTGTTCTAAAATGTTTCATAGATTTCATCCTTTTGGTCATTTAACAAGTATATTTTGAACAAATCTCTTCATTTCCAGACAAATCTATTTCTTATTCATTCCAAATTCTTTATCAACGATTCCCCACCTGGCATTCTAGGATTCTTATGTGTCCTCAGGGCACTAAGGAAGGCCTTTCGTCTGTTATCAGTATATCCTACAGAAATTGTACTTTTATGATAAGGTTGTAAAAATGTTCTTTGCCTTCAAGTGAAATGATAAATGACCTAGTGGCATTTATGCAGATCAGAAGGTCTGATTAGCACTCTTTAACTGAAATACATGGAAATGTAAATAACTTATTACATGATAAAAGAAATTGGTTTGGAAGATAGAAACTTTCAAAAGGTGAGGTTCACACGTGCAAAGGATGCTTGATGAGAAGACAGGGCCCCACTACTGCCTTCTCACCATGGCTATGTCTACTATCCCTCTGAGAGTTCACAGTCTCATTGTCACTGTGAAAAATGTCTTTTATGCTGATTATACAATTGTCTGTTTCAAGGGACATCAAGGCACAGTGACTAAAGGGCCATTTTTTTTTTTTTTTTTCAAATATGCCCTGGAGGTTCAGGGGCCACTGAGGTACTAGATCATTCTAGGATCAAAGACTGGATCATAAAAATTGTCACCCCACTTTATCACTAACTGGGGCTACTGCGATAGGTAATGATGTTCAGTGGATTCTCAGATCCCTCTTCCAGGAGAGCCACAGCCTGGAAAGACTGGGGGCCCTTATGGCGGAGCTGTAGTTCTGGGAAGCCACTGACACTGCATCGAGAGGGTAAATGTCCTTATACCTGCTGCCACTCCCATGTCTTTGCAGAGACAGGAGAATGAGGGTAACAGCTACTTAGTGTCATTTCCTTCTTTAATACTTTAATAATGCTTGCTAAAAGGAAACAAGCAGTCCCAAATGGAGTCAATTGTGCTAAACCCCGCCAAGACTTAATACATAACTCACTGTAGTTTCAGCCTCTCGCAGGAGTGGAATTTTAAATCAGTCAGTCTGAAACTTCCTGGTCCACACTAGGGAGGTAATCTGCCCTAGACCGCCTGCATTCCCTTAAGGAAAGGTGACCTTACCTGAAATAATCCACTCTTTGAACTTCCTTGTCCCACCCTCTTTTTGCCCATAAAAATCTTCTATTTTGTACAACTCCTTGGATTGCCTTTCTACTTGCTAGATAGGATGCTCCCCTTTTATGAGTGGTTGAATAAAGCCAATTCAATCCCCAAATTCACTCCACTGAATTTTGTTTTTTGAACACACTCAATAATTAGAACCCTGATTCATTGAAGGACTTCAACAAATGTGCTGCTCCGTGCCAGGCTCTGCCGTAAATTCAGGACTACAGAAAGGCAGATCACTTCCTGTCCTTGGGATGCTCACACACAGCCTAATGGGAAATGAGATCTGTATCCTAGCTACAAGATAATCCATGGACTGCTATATTAGTGATTGGAATGAGATATTAATGGGAACACACAGGAGGGAGTAAAACATCTGGGAGGGAAGGTGGTGACAGAAAGCTTCACAGGGGCACTGACATTTGAACTGGCCTATGGTAAAATGAGAGGCAGTTTTCTATGGGAGCAGATGGGGTGGGGATTCTGGCTCTACTCTGAAAGCATTTAAGAGGAGAAGACAGTGAGCCTCTGATGACCTCCCTTTGAAACAGGAGGGAAGGCAGCAGGGCACAACCTTTAAAAGAAATGACATAGCCCTTGAGGATATGACAAAAACTGGTTAGACGCAGTTGGGCCCAAGATGGCGGAAGATTCGACTTCCAGTGGACTTTGAACCTCATTATACACTCATTGTAATAAATTATCATATACTAAATGACACACCCACAGGCACCATGACAGTTCCGAGGCTCACCATAAAAGGTCAAAAAGTGGACGGTGGCCAAGTTCCTGGAAATCCCTGCCCCTCCCCCAAAATAGTTGGAATAATCCTCCCACTCATTAGCCTATGAAATTACCCAGCCAATAAAAACTAACCACCCCATATTCCAGGGCCTCTCGCCTTCTGAGATGCCCCACACTTTGCCTGTGGAGTGTGTTTCTCCCAGGGCCACTCTCGCCTTTTAAAATGGGCCGCATTCTGTCTATGGAATGTGTATCTCTCTAAATAAAACAACTTCTTACCTATCACTTTGCCTCTCGCTGAATTCCTTCTGCACAGAGACATAAAGAATCCGAGCTTCAGAAAGTCCTGAAACCTACTGTGCGATTTCAATTAAAAGACAGTGGGTTCAAGTCCCAATCTGAGCTTTGGCTGGTTTTGAAGCCCATCTGAACTGTAGAGTTTCACCTTGATTAATCATTACAAGTTTCTGCCTTCTTTCTCAAGCCAGCAGATTTTTTTTTAAAGGAACATTTATTTATTTATTTATGGCTGCGTTGGGTCTTTGTTGCTGCGTGCGGGCTTTGTCTAGTTGCAGCGAGCAAGGGCTACTCTTCATTGTGGCTTTTCATTGCGGTGGCTTCTCGCTGCGGAGCATGGGCTCTAGGTGCGTGGGCTCAGTAGTTGTGGCATGTGGGCTCAGTAGTTGTGGCGCACAGGCTTAGTTGCTCCCCGGCATGTGAGATCTTCCCAGACTAGGGCTTGTTGGCAGGCAGATTCTTAACCACTGCGCCATCAGGGAAGACCCACCAGCAGATTTCTTAAACATTCGTTTCACTGGTTTCACCTGTCTTAGATCACTTTGTTTTCTACTGCAGTGGTTTTCAAAGTTTGATGTTCAGACCAGCAAAATCAGCATCACCTTGAACTTGGTTAGACACGCAAATTCTGGGTCTCCAACCTGCATTGCAAACTCCTGGAATTTCACCTGATACAGACTCAAGGTTGACAGCCACAGTTCTAAACACACCCAGGACTCTGGGGAGTGGGAGCGGGATGTAAAATGCAGAGGCTGAGAAGGATCTGGGTTTTTCGGTGCCACCGGCCAGGGAGGGGTTGGATGACCCGGCTGAGGTTCCCGCCTTGGGATCCAGATCCACGGTTCCACCCAGGCTGGTCTCTAGCGTCTTCTCCGGCGGTTTCTAGAAGGGTCCTGCCGGTTGAGGGGAGAGGTGCTCCCACAGGTCCCTGAACCAGACTCGTTTTTTCTCTCCCAAGCGGATTGACTAGGAGGCTTAGCTGAGCAGCCTCAGGGCTGGCTTTGGGGTAATACTGGCGTCCTTAGTTTTGCAAGTGAGCGATGCAGGCCTCCTGTGGTCGTTCTGTTCCGGCGCCGGGACCGCGGCCACTCCCACCCCAGAGAGGAGGGTGCCTTTCTTCTAGGACAGCTTGGTCAGGTGACCTTGGCGGCTCTTACTCAGCCAGGGACCCGGAAGGACGAGGGATCAGGAGGCCGCGGGCGTGCGGGCAGGACGGCGGGCGCGGGGCCATGAGGTCCCCGAAGCTGCCTGGGCTCGTACTCTCGCTGCTGCTGCTGCTGCCGCCGCCGGGTCCAGTTGGCGGCGCCGCGCGCTTCGACCCCACCTGGGAGTCCCTGGATGCACGCCCCCTGCCCGCCTGGTTCGACCAGGCCAAGTTCGGCATCTTCATCCACTGGGGCGTGTTCTCCGTGCCCAGTTTCGGGAGCGAATGGTTCTGGTGAGCGCACCTCCCTCCGTCTCCTCTGACCCCGCTTTGCACCCCACTGGCCTCCAGCCACGACCCAGATCCCAGCCTATGCCGGTTTGTTTTGCCCCCTAGTCAGTTTCACCTCCCGCTGTTTTAGCGGTGTTTAGCATTTCCGGGTGTTAAATGAATAATTTACTGTGTAAGTGGTTCGTGCTGGGTGAACACTGAATTTTTCTTCCGTGTGACTGCAAGAGTTGTCAGACAACTGATGTGACTGGCTTCTCAGCTTCTTGAGAGCTGCACTTATCAAGTTGTAGTTATCACTCTGTAGCCACCGAATGACTAAGACAGCAGGAAAGTAATCGACTGTGTGGGGTCATATTGTGAAGCGTGAGCCTAAACTGCCGTCTTTGTCCTTAGAGAATCAGACACCTTGTCCCGTCGCTGTTCTGCTGCTACCTGTCAATTTTTAGTTGTTCTGCCATGAAGTATGGTTTAAACATAAATTCATGGGTATGTGAGACTTCTGTTCCTTTGGGCATTCACTGGCTCTTTAATGTTAAAATGTTACCATGTGTGGCTCAAGAAACAAACAAAAAGTTCTAGAATGTTTACCCTAAAAAACCCCAATTATTAATAGACTGCTATGTGGAAAGTGCTGCACAAAAAATTGCTCTGTAGATTTTACCTTGAGATCTATGTAAAAATGTGCATGTAATCCCTTACAACTTGGAAGTGTCTCACATACTTTCCTGATTAAATACCTCAGGTATTTTAAGTTCTTCAAGATAGAAATGGTATATATATATATATATATATATATATATATATATATATAGTATACATATATAATATATTCCTAATGAAATAAGAAAATAAACAATGAGTATTTAAACCTGCTTTATACTATATACATAGTGTACAACAAATTTAATATATACAATATATGTTAGATACGTCAACTGAAAAAAAATACCCTATGTGAGAGTTGTGAATTAAGTTTTATTTGGGGCAAAATGAGGACTGAAGCTTGGGAGACAGCCTCTCAGAGAGCTCTGAGGAGCTGCTCTGAAGAGGTTGGGGGGAGAGATCAGTATATATGTGACTCTGGCGAAGGCGGATACGTGCAATCAAGCACACATTTTGGCAGAAGGTTACCGCTAATCACGAGAAGCAGATGTCTCCCTTATGATTTTAGTGCTTTTCTAGATATGAGAAGATGCAAGAATTTGGGCTCATAAAATCTCCTGAAAATATCTAATTATCTGAAGGCCTGTTCTGCCAGTTTTTCCCAGAGCACAGAGTGCCTCATTCCTGATCTCCACCCTGAACTCCTCCCAGGGTGTGATGAAGGTCAGTGACTTCAGTGGCTAGTGACTTCATTCTTATAGAACCAGATGGCAAGTGACAATTTCTAGTTGGCAGATACAATACAGAGTATAAACTATATATCGTATTAACGTTACACTATAAACATTGTACTACTTTCTATAAAGAGACTTTCTGCAACCAGTAACTCTTCTTATTCAGTTAGGCCAGTTGATGTAAAAGAACTGTATAAACTATGGAGTACTATTCATATACTCTTTTGGAATCAACTTCAAAACCAAGGGACTCTTTCTTCCCATAACTTGTATTACCAAATATATTTGCTTCAGGATGTTATAAATCTTTCTTTGCAAGTTTTGTGCTGTGAGGCATTTTGAGTTTAGTTTTGAAATGTTTCAGATTAGCAAGGTACATCAATTAACAGATTTTTTTCCTCTTAAGATATAATAAATTATACTTTAATTTGCCATTTTGTTCAACAGGGAAGATTAGGTAAATATACATTTGGTGCTGGGAGAGGATTTGACATTTGTTAATTGAAACTAGTGCTCTGTGCAAAACAGCTAGTTTTGAGTCATCTTATTCTTTGTAATGGTTAACTTTTTATTTTCTACAAATGAACACAAAGTTGTTTGTTTTGACCTAGGACAATAAAGATAATTCTCATACAAAACAGAGTATATTTTTGATGGTCTGGAAGTGCAATAATCCTGTGGAAGATTCTTTAATTATCTATAGTTTCCCTTTGTGTCCCCTCTAAATCTCTGCTCCCCACCCCAATTTGACCTGGAGCCATCAACAGTAGAGGTGGGTATATCTGACTGTCCTTAATGGCAGTTCGAAACCAAATATAAATTATGGGCTGTTTACTGTAAGTGCCTCTTCTCATCTCTATTAGTATGAAATTTGAGAAGTGACTCTAGACTATAATAGAGAATGCAAGTTCAAATTAGATGTGTTAGGAAAAAACAGAAATCTCTTATCTTTTAACTTTCTGACTGTCCCAGTTTCTCTTTTGTAGTTCAATTTAAAAGGTAAAAATGCATCATGGATCAATTAGGATACTTTCACTTCAAGGTATAGAAAACCCAAATAAAAGGTTTAACAATAGGGGTTTGTTACTCTACATAATGAGAAATTTAGACGTAGTTGGCTCATTGATGAAATCAAAGACCTAAGCTTTCTGTCATCCTCAGCCTGTTGACTTGTCCTGTCATGGTCACATGATGGTGGACAGGCATCACTTCATACAACCTTGTCCGAAGGCAAGTTGTATCTCTTTCTATTAGAGAGGAAACCATTCCCAGAATCTCCCAAGTTGGCTTCCCCTCAAGTTCCATTGGCCAGCATGGGTCAGGTGTCCATGTGGTAGGTGTGATGGAAACTGGGAAAATATATATCTGACTCTTGGGCAGGTAAAGAATAGTGCCTGTGACATATTATGTCCTTCAGTGAAGGCTTCTCAGTGGGATGAACCTCCTGATCATCTTTGGGGATGTAATGCTGATTATGGATTTACTCATCCCTTAGAAACACTCTTATGAAAGGAGTGGTGGAAGGAAGAGTAGAAGATGGGTCAGAGATGGGGCCTGCATCTATTTCATGAGCATAATATTACTGCCATGTTTATCTAAAAATTATGTTTTCGATGTTGTTTTCCTCCTGAAGCTTTGCTTAGGCAGTTTAGGCCCCATTGCTCAGAAACCATGCATATAACCTGTAATCCTTGAAGGCTGAGTCAATATATTAAAATAACAGCATCTTCTTAATTTTACTGTCATCTCCTCCCCCACTTGTTCTCTGCTAGTGAATATAATACATTTGTGTTACGCTTTATGTGCTTTGTCTTCTTTTGAAGCCTTCATCACTTATGTTACAAAGGACTAACTATGTAAAGATACTACATGTTGCGGTTTAAAAGTGAAGAATTAAGAGCAAATGGGTAGCTGTGTTGTCTAGAATGTTCAGGTTGATGAGCTGGAGTTCACAGAGGGGTAGATGGAAAACTATGGAAGTTTACATAAGCTTTCTTTAAGGTGAAGTCAAACTAAATGGAGAAGTGAGGAAGAGAATCTTGGTAATATGTGAGTAAGGGGGATTTAGTAAAGGGAGCTGGGGCAGTTACAGGTGACCCTTGAACGACACAGGTTTGGTCCACTTTTATGTGGATTTTCTTCAATAAATATACACTTGGCCCTCTATATTCGAGGATTTCACATCTCTGGATTCAACCAACCTCAGATGGAAATTTTCATCCACAGTTGCTTGAATCTACAGATGCCAAAACTGGATACGGAGGGCTGACTGTATTGGCTGACTGGGTTGGCCAAAAAGTTCTTTCAGTTTTTAAGTAAAAATAAAAGACACATTTTTCATTTTTACCAAGAACTTTATCGAACAGCATATTCACTGTTTTGTTCCACTACCTTTTGCCATTTTTCAGGCAACTTCATAATTCCATCTTCCCAAAACTTTTTATCTTTTTGAGCAAAGAACTGTTCCAGGTGCCTTTTACAGTCTTCCAGGGAATCGAAATTTTTTCCATTAAGAGAATTTTGTAAAGACTGAAATAAATGGAAATCTGAAGGTGCAATGTCTGGTGAATATGGCGGATGAATCAGAACTTCCCAGCCAAGCCATAACAGTTTTTGCCTGGTCATTAAAGAAACGTGTAGTCTTGCGTTATCCTGATGGAAGATTATGCGTTTTCTGTTGACTAATTTCAGACGCTTTTCGTAGCGTGCTGCTTTCAGTTGGTCTAATTGGGAGCAGTACTTGTTAGAATTAATCGTTTGGTGTTCTGGAAGGAGCTCATAATAGAGGACTCCCTTCCAATCCCACCATATATACAACATCACCTTCTTCAGATGAAGACTGGCCTTTGGTGTGGTTGGTGGTGGTTCAATTCGCTTGCCCCACGATCTCTTCCATTCCACATCATTGTACAGTATCCACTTTTCATTGCCCATCACAATTTGTTTTAAAAACGGGACATTTTCTTAACGTTTAAGTAGAGAATTGCATGCGGAAATATGGTCAAGAAGGTTTTTTTCGCTTAACTTATGTGGTACCCAAACATCAAAGTGATGAACATAACCAAGTGCAAATGATTTTCAATGCTTGATTTGGATATTTTGAGTATGTCAGCTGTCTCCCGCGTGGTATAATGTTGATTATTCTCAATTAATGTCTCGATTTGATCACTATCAACTTCAACTGGTCTACCTGAGAGTGGATCATCGTCCAGTGAGAAATCTCCAGCATGAAACTTCGAAAACCACTTTTGATACATTCAATAGTCACAGCACCTTCTCCATACACTGCACACATCTTTTTTTGTGTTTCAGTCGTTTTTTTACCTTTCTTGAAATAATAAAAACATAATATACCAAAAATGTTGCTTTTTTCTTCCATCTTTAATATTAAAATGTCTACACAAAAATTCACCAATTTTGATAAGTTTTTTTTTAAATGCACGCTGATATGACAGCTGTCACAATACAATCTACTTGTTTTGAATGAAGTTAAAGACAAGTGGTACTAGAGCCATCTTACAGAAGAAAACAAACGAACTTTTGGCCAACCCAATACTATGCCATTTTATATAAGGGACTTGAGCACCCACAGATCTGGGTATCTGCTGAGGCTCCTGGGACTAATCCCCTATGGATACTGAGGGATAACTATATCTCAGATGTTTATGTGAATGCTGCTTATATGCTATTTCCTTCATCCCCTTAGGTGGTATTGGCAAAAGGAAAAGTTACCAAGTTATGTGGGCTTTATGAAAAATAATTACCCTCCTGATTTCACATATGCAGATTTTGGACCACTGTTTACAGCAAAATTTTTTGATGCAAACCAGTGGGCAGATATCTTACAGGCTTCTGGTGCCAAATATGTTGTCTTAACTTCCAAACATCATGAAGGTAAGTACAACATTTGCAAAAACTCACAGTGGTTATGAAATGTAAAGTAGTTCTTTTGGACCAAGAAACTAAAGCAAGGTCATCCACATGAAATCAGAGTTTTCTCTTAGGAGCAATCATAAGTGGCTATTGACATTTGCTTGCAACTTAAGAGACCATGTGTTCCACCCAGTTAAGAAGCATTATGTATGCAGAAAGATCATACCCTCCACATGACAGAGAAAAAATGGAAACTGATCACATTTTGTTATATGCATATTTAACAATTTCCAAGTAATCCAAGATTTGATTTGAAGCTATTTGAAATGGGAAGTGGGTTGCAGGTCAAAGTTTACACTTGGAATTGCATTCTTCCTTTCTTTCCACCTTTGTAATGCATTCTGGGAAGGCACCCAGGGGATTATTTTGCTGTAGTTTTGCATCATGACCGACACACAAGGTTGTGCTTTTGGCCAACTCTTATATGGCCCAATTGAGGACAGTTTGCTAGTGATGAAAATGACGCAGGTCACCTGGAAGGAACAGGATTATGGAGCTGTGGTGGTGCCCAGAAATATCAGAGATGGTGGAGGAGTATGTAAAGGAAACACAGTGGTTGTATTAGGGTTCTTCAGAGAAACAGAACTAATAAGCAGTATAATATATAGAAAGAGGTTTATCATAAGAAATTGACTCATGCAACTATGGAGGCTGAGAAGTCTAGACCCAAGAGAGCCAGTTGTATTGTTCCAGTCTGAGTTCAAAGGCCTGAGAACCAGGAGAGTGGATGATTTAGGTTCCTGTCCAAGTATGAGGGCAAAGGCAGGAGAAGACTGATGTCTCAGCTCAAAGACATGCAGAGAAAAGAATTCTTTCTTAATCAGCCTCTTATTCTGTTTAGGCAGGCCTTCAGTGGATTAGATGAGGCCCAACCACTGGGGGAGGGCAATCTGCTTTACTCAATCTACCTATTCAAATGTTAATTTCATCTAGAAACACCCAGGAACATATCCCGAATGACGTTTAACCAAATATCTGGGCACCCAGTGGCCCAATCACGTTGACACATAAAATTACCATCATAGTGATCTTCCACTAATAGGATAGATTCCACCCATTACCATTCCAGTATCTATAAGATCAAGGAAGCATCAGCAAATTATTATTGTTCCAACAGCATGTTAATAATTAGACAATTTGTTTGCATAACCATCTTTGCCTTGGAATAAAAAATTTTGCCTCATTATTTGCCCAGGGGTGGGTAGGGGATTAGAAGGGAAGAACCAAAACCCCAAATAAGGAATTATCTTAGAATATTTTTCCCATTGGCCACATTCTAGTGGCTTAATGATTTTCTCCTATAGAGGTTTCTCAGGCTGAGATGGATATTTATAAAGCGTATTTGCTTGTGAACATGTTGATTTCCTGATGCCTAGGAACTTCTCCAAGCTGTATGGCACAAGGTATTACATAGTGAGCTTATTTAAAAACAAAACAAAACAATCTTAATCACATTGTGAGGACAGATGATGTAGCCCACATTTATCAACTCTCTAGCATTCATATTGTTGGAAGTTTTCATGCTTATGGGAGAGACCCTGCTGAGCCTGGCTAGGCGGGAAGACCACTGTGTGAGCTTCTGGTGGTGCTACTGAACCGAATACCCATGTGGTTTTAGCACCGCCTGACATTAGGGTCTGTCAAGTTGAAACATTTTGAATAAGACTTTAAGTATCATCAGCAATGCTTTGAAGTTTACCACAAACATCTTTAGAACCAGTGTGAGCTCTTTTAAAAGTTTCTTCAAAATGAATCCAGAGTGTGTCCATCTTAGTCTTGTCCTAATTTACAAGAGTAAAGTGTTGCACCAAAGCACCTTACTTATGTCTGTTCTCAAAGATTCTTTTAGATTTTAGTGGGACAGCAACAATGTATTTATGTTCCTAGGTGCCAACTAAACATTTTGAGGCTTTTAAAATTATTTCTTAAGTATTTCAGTTTATATAGGGCTTCTATGGTTTTTATATAGAACAACCAGCAATCTAAATGCAAATTCCTTTTAAAATATGAATTATTTCAAAGTGCTTATGTAAAGGCAGACATTCTTCTTACCTATTTAGTTGGTAGGTAATTCACTTTTAGGTAATTTAAAGCACGACATCCAAGCTTATGATTTTAGAGTAGGATGAGATTACAAATGGTGGGTACATTGCAAAGTACAGAACTACTGGGGACTAGTACCCCACCCCCACCTTGATAAAATGAATAATGAGGGTAAAGGAGACTTACTACTATACATGGACACCAGTGTTCTAAGAATCATACTATAATAAAATAAATAATCCTAAAACCAGGGAATATACTTTAATTTTTGGTTTAGAAGACAAATAAGAATCTTGTAGGAGTGCATCTCAGGAACTTCACCGTAAGCAGTAATAGTCATTGTTTAGCATGGTGCATATGGAAGATGTTCCTGTCTTAGCTGTGATCGCTAATGTTGATTGCTGATTTTGTGCTAGACCCTGTGCTAGCCATTGGCTGAGGATATAGCAGGGAACACTGCAGACATGATGCTGTCCCTCAAGGAGCTTATAGTCTAAGAGGGAGAATACAGGAGATAGATCAGACTATACAGACTTTATGGGGAACCCTGAGAGTTGCTTTTAAAAATCTTGGTTCTACTTTGTTTAAATTCTCATTTGTTTCTTGTATGAAAGCAAAATGTATACTATGGAAAAAAATTGCCATAAAGCAGTTGTTTGTAGAAACAGTGATTTATATATTACGTGTACTGCCTATGTGATTTGAAAGCTTTCTTTTTGTTTTTTTTGGCTGCACTGCGCAGCTCGTGGTATCTTAGTTCCCCAACCAGGGATTGAACCCATGCCCTTGGCAGTGAAAGCTCAGAGTCCTAACCACTGGACCGCCAGGGAATTCCCCCTGTGTAATTTGTTTTGGTGTTTGTATATGTGGAAATTTACTAAAACAATTGATATGCTTACAAGCTTTTTAATATAATGTTTCAGGCTTCACCTTGTGGGGCTCAGAGCGTTCGTGGAACTGGAATGCTGTAGATGAGGGGCCGAAGAGGGACATTGTCAAGGAACTTGCAGTAGCCGTTAGAACCAGGACTGACCTGCGCTTTGGACTGTACTATTCCCTTTTTGAATGGTTTCATCCGCTCTTCCTTGAGGATGAATCCAGCTCATTCCAGAAACAACAATATCCACTGTCTAAGATGCTGCCCGAGCTCTACGAGTTAGTGAACCAGTATCAGCCTGAGGTCCTGTGGTCAGATGGTGATGGAGGGGCCCCAGATACCTACTGGAACAGCACAGTCTTCCTAGCATGGTTGTACAATGAGAGGTGTGTGTGTTATTAGATTGCTGTTGTGACCTTAAACATTCCTAATACATGTATAAAATTTTAATTCCCTTGCTTCTTGAAATAGGTCCTTTCAGGCTCATTTGTGGCATGGGGGAGGAAATCATTGTAAATAATGCTCATTAGATATATCAATATTTACTCAGAATAATCAGGAGTTACAAATCAGGAGTCAAATACAACTCAACAGTCTGATTTTGAAATCAGACTAAACATCACAGGATAAAGAACTTTGAAGACATTAACCTTGTGGGTCCTCATTTTCATCTTCTATTCTGGGACAACTCTGTTGATTCATCACTGTTTCTGATGATGTGCTTTTCAATTCCTCTGATTGCTTCTTTTCATCCTCATACATTTGATAATCTTTGCTGCTCAGACAATGTCACCCTTGTCTGTCTCCTCTTTTCCCTCATCGTCAGCACTTCACCTCTTCCTGTTCTCTCCTCTTGCTTTCTAGCATGTTCCAAGCTACCCCATTAGAACAGGAAGTTCTGACTGAGCTCCTTTATAAGGCTTACACTATATGGAGCAAAGTTATATTTGTAACTAAAAAGTACTTGGTATCATGCTAGGAGGTCAGGGAGTGTCCTGCTTGTGTTCTCTGGGCCCACAAAGGGCACACATACAAATACTCTGGAGAGCTCTTGATATGTAACTGCAGTTTCTCTAGGTACTCCTTCCAAAAGGAAATATGGGGAACCCTCCACTTCAATTTGTGAACCAAACGATCCCCTCTAAGTGGAGAAGTGCAGGAGGTACCAACTGCTACGATGAATAATGTAGCGGGGATATTTCATGCTACAGTGAATTCCATGGTAACAGTCAACTTTCCTGAGGTTTTTCAATATTAGGCACGATTGTAAGAGAAAGAAAGGCTAGAATATATGTAGGAGATTATTCAGTCATAGATGAGAAGAATGTCTTGACTGTAAATTCAATTTTAGCTACCATTCACAATATGGGAGCAGGGAGGAGAACCTTCAAATAATAGTAAAATACTCTTATAAGTGCTATGTGTGCTGGGCACTGGGCTATGTGTTTTACATAAATTAGTTCTGTTCTAATAATAGATGAGGAAATTGATTATTCAGAAGAGTTAGGTAACTTGCTGTGGGACAGCGAACTTAGAAAGTGACAGGCCAGGACTACAATCTCCCCAGGTCTATTTGACTTCAAAACCGTGGGCTTTGTATTATATTCCACTACGGTTATTTTCCAGGAGTGAATTTCAGTCAGACCTCTTTTCAGTGACACTGCTTTTGTGTAAAAATTCTTTACTTTTTGTTTAAAAAAAAAAATCATCCTTTTCATTTCAGCCCAGTTCGGGACACAGTGGTCACCAATGACCGTTGGGGAGCTGGTAGCATCTGTAAGCACGGTGGCTACTATACTTGCAGTGATCGTTATAACCCAGGACATCTTTTGCCACATAAATGGGAAAACTGCATGACAATAGACCAGTTTTCCTGGGGCTATAGGAGGAATGCTGGAATCTCTGACTATCTTACAATTGAAGAATTGGTGAAGGTACAGTAAAATGTCTGGTGACCATTATGGTAACACTTGTAATAGTGTAGGTGTATGAGAATTATTTTTTCTAAATTGTATAGCTCAATGGTCTATAACACAGGACATTACTCTTTTTTCTATGTGTGTTCTCCTAGATAGTGACTATATATATATGTCTAAGTCCATAAATACCACATGTTAACACATTCAGGATGGAATTGTTTTCTTTCTCTAAGAACTATATTTATTCTTAATTTTTTAGCAACTTGTAGAAACAGTTTCATGTGGAGGAAATCTTTTGATGAATATTGGGCCCACAAAAGATGGCACCATTTCTGCAATTTTTGAGGAGCGATTAAGGCAAATGGGGACCTGGTTAAAAGTCAATGGAGAAGCCATCTATGACACCCATGCTTGGAGATCCCAGAATGACACTGTCACCCCAGATGTATGGTAAGTACTATTAGATAGAGGAAGGCATTTAACATTTCTCAGAGGTAAAGAGAAAAGTAAAATAAAAAAGGAAATGGGATGAATGCCCACCTACACAAAACACTTTCTTTACTTACTCTACAAGAAATTAGCATATTTTAAAACACATTATTTATCAAATTGAGCTGAAATCATCTCTAGATTCCTCCAAACAGTGGACAGATTTCAGGGAAAAATATTCAGCTCTTACAAAAATTGTAGGCCATTCAGAAAAATGAAAAAAAAAAATGCTGAGTGGTTAATCCAAAAGAGACTTCAGGTTTAGTCAGGTAAATTCTAACTTTTGCAGGTGTTACATCACATCAAATTAGCAGGAGGTGCGGAAGGGCAGAAAAAATATTTAAAATCTGCAAAAATAACAGCATTATTTAAATTGATTAAAAATCTTGTACCTTGTTCCTATTATTCTAATAAATCTAAACCTGAAGTTTCTTTAAAATTATCTTAACTGGCTAACTTTTCTTTTAACTAGTAGCTCCTATAAAAGCCTTGCCACAGGTTCTGTCTGAGCTTTGGAAAGTTCTATGGGCCAATGAGTCAGACTCTGCAAATACGGTGGTTTCTGATGTGCGGTCTTAACATATATAAATAAGAGTAGTATTAATGAAGCTCTAAAAATTCACCTTGTGTTGCCACCAAAGTGAGTACAGCCTGATCAAGTATATATCAAAAGATTAGACTAAATAATCTTCCTTGAACTTATGACTTAAAACAAATTGTCAGTTCATTGAAGAAAATCAAGTAAGGCAGTCTACACAGAAGCAATTGACTATAGAATTTTAGAATGCCGGGTATGGGAGAAGCCACAATAAGAACTCAGAACCAATCTTTCATTTTACAGAGGCTAGTTTAAATTGGGTTTTAGAATTTGCTTCTGTGTTTGTATTTGACTATGAGGGTGTCTGATCTGGGATCTGACAATGGTTAACCATTATTCCATTCCATTTTCTTTCAATAAGTAAAGATAAAAGCCAAACTACTTATTAGCAAGACCTATAAAGCCGTAGCCTGGCTCCACTGTACCGAGCCCAGTGGCCTGCTATCCCTGCCTCACCAGAGGAGCTCTCCCCCCGCAGGTTCATCGTGTGTGCTTCCCCTCCTTGCTGCATCTTTAGATAACTATCTAGACTCCCAGGGCTATCCTTGAAATCCTTTGACATTTTAGCCCTGGCTCACTGTTACTGTCCCCAGAACTACTCTTCACATAATTCTTAGTGATTTTAATGTCAATATTCACAGCTCTTCTAATCTGCTGGCCCCTCAGTTCCGGTACCTCCTCCCTTCTAGGGATCCTTTCCCCTTCTGTTGGTCGTACCTTAGACCTTGTATTTCCAATAATTGTACTCCTTCTATGCTCTCAGTCTGAAGCATTCCATTGTCTAACTCCCACCTCTTATATTTTAGCTCACTTCAGCTTCCAAAGGGATCTGCTGCCTTTAATTCTGTCACGTTTTCTCTTCCTCTTGCCTCAACCCTCTCATGTCTTTTCTTTTTCCTTATCCAGGTCAGATTCTATGCATCACTCCAGTGCATCCACCCTCAACTCCTTAACTCTCTCTCCCTCTGTCGTACTCATTAAAACTCAGCTTTGATTAAACTCAGCTCTACTTATTCCATATCTACCCCTGTGTAGCTAAATGTGACTAGAAATACACACACACACACACACACACACACACAATGTCCAATGCTCTCGCTTTTGGCTTTAAAGCAAACCCGTGTATCCTGGATCCCATCCCAGGTTATCCACTCAAGGATATTGTTCTAGCAATTCTCCCCATTTGCTCCTCATCTTCAATTTCCCCTTTGTTAGATCCTTTCCTATCAGCATAAAAACCTGTTTTGTTTTTTTTCATCTTGAACTCTTTCCATCTTACTTAGATCTCCAGCTACTTTCCCATTTCTCTACTTTCCTTTATAGTAGAACATCTTGAAAGAATGTTTTTTACTTGCTATCTCCAGTTTCTTGCTCCAGTTTTCCTCTTTTTTAAAAAAAATTTATTTATTTATTTATGTATATTTTTGGCTGTGTTGGGTCTTCGTTGCTGCACGCGGATTTCTCTAGTTGCGGTGAGTGGGGGCTACCCTTCGCTGCAGTGCGCAGGCTTCTCATTGCGGTGCTTCTCCTGTTGCGGAGCACAGGCTCTAGGCACGCGGGCTTCAGTAGTTGTGGCGCACAGACTTAGTTGTTCCACTGCACGTGGGATCTTCCTGGACCAGGGCTTGAACCCTTGTCCCCTGCATTGGCAGGAGGACTCCCAACCACTGCACCACCAGGTAAGCCCTCCAGTTTTCCTCTTAAACTCACTCTGGTCAGACTTCCACCCCACACTCTATAAAATCACTGTTATCCAGGTCCACAGGAACCTCTCCCTCACTGGGTCAGTCGCGGTCCCTATCATCTGAGCTTACTGTCAGCATTTGCCCCAGGTGATGGCTGTCTCTGTCTTCACTGTGCCTGTTGGCCATTCCTTCTTAGTCTCCTTTGCTGGTTCCACTTCAAGTCCCTGACCACTAAACCTTGAAGTGCCCTGAGGCTCAGCCCTTGGGCTTCTATTCTTTATCTTAATTCCCCAGGTGATCTCATCTATTTTCAGGGCTTTAAATGCCATACTGATGGCCTCTGTAGTGGAATCATCTTTTTTAAACTCCAGAATCATATATTCAACTTCCTAGTCAGTGTCTCCACTTAAAAATAAAGCATCTTAAACCTGTTGTGTCCAAAACTTAGGTCCTTAAAATTTTGCTCTAAATTAGTTCCACCCACAGTCTCCCCCATCTCAGTTAATGGCAGCTTCATGCTTTTAGGTGCTTGTCAGGCCCTAAACCTTGGAGTCCTTAACTTCCCTTTCTTTTACATCCCACAGCCAATCCATCAGTAAATTCATCATATCTTTGAAATATATCTGGAATCTGACCACTTCTCATCCTCTCTGTGGCAACCCTCTTCCTGTTAGTCTCCATCGTTTCCCCCCTGGATTATTTCAGTAGCTTGTCTGATCTATTCCCATCTGTGCTCCTTTAATCTATCTGCTACAAAACCTTTTAAATAATAAGTCAGGTTATGACACTCCCATGCTCAAATTCTTCCAGCGGCTTCCAGTCTTAGAGAAAAATTCAAGACTTACAAAGGCTTATAAGGTCCTATAAAAACGAGCACCTTGTCTCTGTGATCTCACTGGCTATCATGCTATCCTTCACTTCCTCTCCTTCAGTCACCCTGCCCTCCTTGCTCTTCTATCAACAGGCCAAGCATACTGCTGCATTGGGACTCTGTGCTTGCTGTTCTCTTCCTCTGCTCACGTGGTTCCCCCTCACATCCTTCAGGTCTCCTCAACGCCACCTCCTCAAAGAGGTCTTCCTTGACTATTCTATTTATTTTTATTTTTTTGCATGTAGACTTTCTTCTTTATTGCTGTACACCCAGAACTTAAAAGAGTTCCAGGTATACTGTAGTCACAAATAGATAATTTTTGAATAAATGAACACATTTTAAAATTTAGGGGTCAGGTAATTTCCAGCAATGCCATTGGTTTAAGAAATTAAAACTGCTTCAGATTACCAAATGTGAGAGTGATTATGATTTCTAACATGGCTCAAAATAATTTTTTAAAATTTGAAGTTTGTCTCCAAATCAGTAAGGAATCAGTCTAGAGAATCAGAAGGTCTATGATTTTTTCTGTTTTCTTCATCACTGATTTACCTTGAGAACAAGTTGTCTATTCCTTTTAACAAAGTAAGTATGGTGAAGATTTAAATTAATGTGACAGAATGTACAGATATTTAATTTGAGGTTAGTATAAACACAGAGGAGCCAAAGGATCCCCTAACAATCCTCTGATCTTTTTTCTTTTCTAACATTTTTATTGGAGTATAATTGCTTTACAATGGTGTGTTAGTTTCTGCTTTATAACAAAGTGAATCAGTTATACATATCTGATACATATGTATCAGATATGTATATGTACAAATCCCCATATCTCTTCCCTCTTGCATCTCCCTCCCTCCCCCCCTCCCTATCCCACCCCTCTAGGTGGTCACAAAGCACCGAGCTGATCTCCCTGTGCTATGCGGCTGCTTCCCAGTAGCTATGGATTTTACATTTGGTAGTGTATATATGTCCATGCCACTCTCTCACTTTGTCACAGCTGACCCTTCCCCCTCCCTGTGTCCTCAAATCCATTCTCTAGTAGATCTGCGTCTTTATTCCCGTCTTGCCCCTAGGTTCTTCATGACCTTTTTTTTTAAGATTCCATATATATGTGTTAGCATACGGTATTTGTTTTTCTCTTTCTGACTTACTTCACTCTGTATGACAGTCTCTAGTTCCATCCACCTCACTACAAATAACTCAATTTCATTTCTTTCTATGGCTGATTAATATTCCATTGTATATATATGTCACATCTTCTTTATCCATTCATCTGTCGATGGACACTTAGGTTGCTTCCATGTCCTGGCTATTGTAAATAGAGCTGCAATGAACATTGTGGTACTTGACTCTTTTTGAATTATGGTTTTCTCAGGGTATATGCCCAGTAGTGGGATTGCTGGGTCGTATGGTAGTTCTATTTGTAGTTTTTTAAGGAACCTCCATACTGTTCTCCATAGTGGCTGTATCCATTTACATTCCCACCAACAGTGTATGAGGGTTCCCTTTTCTCCACACCCTCTCCAGTATTTATTGTTTGTAGATTTTTTGATGATGGCCTTTCTGACTGGTGTGAGTTGACATTGTATGGTAGTTTTGATTTGCATTTCTCTAATGATTAATGATGTTGAGCATTCTTTCATGTGTTTGTTGGCAATCTGTATATCTTCTTTGGAGAAATGTCTATTTAGGTCTTCTGCCCATTTTTGGATTGGGTTGTTTGTTTTTTTGATATTGAGCTGCATGAGCTGCTTGTAAATTCTGGAGATCAATCCTTTGTCAGTTTCTTCATTTGCAAATATTTTCTTCCATTCTGAGGGTTGTCTTTTCGTCTTGTTTATGGATTCCTTTGCTGTGCAAAAGCTTTGAAGTTTTAGGTCCCATTTGTTTATTTTTGTTTTTATTTCCCTTTCTCTGGGAGGTGGGTCAAAAAGGATCTTGCTGTGATTTATGTCATAGAGTGTTCTGCCTATGTTTTCATCGAAGAGTTTGATAGTGTCTGGCCTTACATTTAGGTCTTTAATCCCTTTGAGTTTATTTTTGTGTATGGTGTTAGGGAGTGTTCTAATTTCATTCTTTTACTTTTCTCCATTTTATATTCTTGCCTCCTTTATCAAAGATAAGGTGACCATATGTGCGTGGGTTTATCTCTGGGCTTTCAATCCTGTTCCATTGATCTATATTTCTGTTTTTGTGCCAGTACCATACTGTCTTGATTACTGTAGCTTTGTAGTATAGTCTGAAGTCTGGGAGACTGATTCCTCCAGCTCTGTTTTTCTTTCTCAAGATTGCTTTGGCTATTCGGGGTCTTTTGTGTTTCCATACAAATTGTGAAATTTTTCATTCTAGTTCTGTGAAAAATGCCAGTGGTAGTTTGATAGGGATTGCATTGAATCTGTAGATTGCTTTGGGTAGAATAGTCATTTTCACAGTGTTGATTCTTCCAATCCAAGAACATGGTATATCTCTCCATCTATTTGTATCATCTTTAATTTCTTTCATCAGTGTCTTATAATTTTCTGCATACAGGTCTTTTGTCTCCTTAGGTAGGTTTATTCCTAGGTGTTTTATTCTTTTTGTTGCAATGGTAAATGGGAGTGTTTTCTTAATTTCACTTTCAGATTTTTCATCATTAGTGTATAGGAACGCAAGAGATTTCTGTGCATTAATTTTGTATCCTGCTACTTTACCAAATTCATTGATTAGCTCTAGTAGTTTTCTGGTAGCATCTTTAGGATTCTCTATGTATAGTATCATGTCATCTGCAAACAGTGACAGCTTTACTTCTTCTTTTCCGATTTGGATGCCTTTTCTTTCTTTCTCTTCTTTGATTGCTGTGGCTAAAACTTCCAAAACTATGTTGAATAATAGTGGTGAGAGTGGGCAACCTTCTCTTGTTCCTGATTTTAGAGGAAATGTTTTCAGTTTTTCACCACTGAGGATGATGTTGGCTGTGGGTTTGTCATATATGGTCTTTATTATGTTGAGGTAAGTTCCTTCTATGCGTACTTTCTAGAGGGTCTTTATCATAAATAGGTGTTGAATTTTTCCCAAAGCTTTATCTGCATCTACTGAGATGATCATATGGTCTTTCTCCTTCAATTTGTTAATATGGTGTATCACATTGATTGATTTGCGTATATTGAAGAATCCTTGCATTCCTGGGATAAACCCCACTTGATCGTGGTGTTTGATCCTTTTAATGTGCTGTTGGATTCTGTTTGCCAGTATTTTGTTGAGGATTTTTGCATCTATGTTCACCAGTGATATTGGTCTGTAGTTTTCTTTTTTGACTATTTTATTTAAAAGAACACCTAGATCCCTTTTTGCCAACGTAGTGTTGACCTAAAATAGACTGCCAGTTATTTCTCTAGCAAAAGTGGGTTTATTTGCGATCACCAAAGAATTGTAATTTGGGGTCTGCAAACATGGCAAGCCACATGCAAGTCCCTGCACAGCAAGGGAAGGAGAACTCTTTTACTGGGGGGAAAAGGAAGTTGGGAAAGCTATAGTAAATGGAGAGTCCATGGCTTTTCATTGGCTGAGTTGTTGCCAGGTAATAAGAGGAGCCTTCCTACTTCCTGTGGGCTCTGCTATTGTTGCAGGGCATGGGAGCTCCCCTCTCTGGTCTCCTGACTCTATTTTAATTGAGCTTCCTGTTTATTAATTTTCACACAGGCATGCTCTATTCTTCTTGCTGGGCTTCAGTTTTCTCCAAAACATTTAATCATCATCTGACATATATTTTTTTGCTCATTCTAATTTTCTCCGCTACATGTAAGCTCCATGAGGACAGGGACTGTGTTCAATGCTATGTCTCCAGCTCTGAATCAGTGATTAACATTTTAAGATGTCAATAAATATTTGTCAAATAACTGAGTGAAAAAATGAATGAATTCTGTTTTCTTTGTCTAAACCTTACTCTTCTTACCTTTTCCCTTTTGCTCACATTCATCCTTTAAGTCTCAGATTAAATCTCATTTTCTTGCTAATGGTATAACGTAAAAACATGCCTTTGTTATAATCTTTCAACTTCCTCTTCTTTCATAGTGCTTATAAAAATTCACACTTCTATATTATTTGTGTGATTATTTGATGTCTCTCTCCCTCACTCTAGTCTAAGCTTTACAAGAACAAGAGCTAAGTGTGTTTTGTTTTCTATTGTATTCTTAACACCAAGCACGGTACTGGGCCCAGCATTGACAGATACATACCTGTTGAATGAAGGAATATGAAGATTTGATCATCAGGTGGAAAGCCATCTATTCTTGCATCTTATGCTCTTTGCTCACATTCCCCACCTGTTTCCAGCTCCATGAGAAAAGTCTGATGAAGAGTAGTGCTAGAAAAATCTCGGTTCCAAGAACTTCCTTTTAGCACTGGGGAAGTGGGGAAGAGAGGTGCTGTGATAATTGTGATTTATAATAAGAAATATATATTTGGTCTTTTTCTGTTTCTGGCACAGAGCTCCTAAAACTCTTGGAATTTCCTAAGCGATGAGAGCCATAAAGGTGTCTTTCGTTATGTCAGTGAGGTGATTTTGGACACTACCAAAGGATGAGGGCTGGTTGCCCATGGCCTTCAGGGAGGGGTGAGAGGGTGGAGGTTGAACCAATCATCAGTGGTCATTGACTTAATCAATAATGACTAATGAAGCCTCCATAAAAATCCCAAGGATGAGGTTTAGAGAGCTTCTGGATTGGTGGAGGTACAGGGAGAGTGGAGCACCTGGAGAAGGCATGGAAGCTCCCTGCCCCTTCCCACATACCTTGCCCTGTGCATCTCTTCCATCTGGCTGTTCCTGAGATATATCCTTTTATAATAGACCTGTAATACAGGAAGTAAAATGTTTCTGTAAATTCTGTGAGCTGCTCTAGAAAATTAGTTGAACTCAAGGAGGGGGTTGTAGGAAGCTCCAATCTATAGCCTGTGGGTCAGAAGCCCAGGTGAGAATCTGGACTTGTGACTGGTGTCTGAATTTGGGGAGGGGGCAGTCTTGTAGGACTAAACCCTTAACCTGTAGAATCTGACACTATCTCTGGGTAGATGGTGTCAGAATTGAGTTGAATTGTAGGACACCCAGTTAGTGTCCGAGAATTGCTTGGTGGTGTGGGGAACTTCTCCCCTACTCCACACACATACACGGGAATTGGGATCAGAACACTTCTGGGTGCTTTTTATGCTACCATCAGGCTAGTTTTCCTTCACTCTATTAATAAAAACATTGGTAAATATTTACTGAATGGAAGTATCTCTGTAAAATAATTCTAGACTTGACCCATAAATAATGAGAAATATTACTATGCTTTTATTCCCTTTTAACCAGGTACACGTCCAAACCTAAAAACAAATTGGTCTATGCCATGTTTCTCAAATGGCCCACATCAGGACAGCTGTTTCTTGGTCAGCCCAAAGCTACTCTGGGGGCAACAGAGGTAAGAGGGAATTTTGTCTTTTATTGTTCCTTTAACTTGCTGACTAGAATAACCTGATGAAGACATAACTTTTAACTTCAGGGTGAGCCTTATATGTGTTCCTCTTATACCTCATAAGAGTAATTTAAAAATGGACTTCATCAATGGCAATGTTTGGCAAAAACCTTTGAAAGTTTTCTTTCATTTCCCAGAAAACCAAACCTATAAAACGGCTATATTATCTCCATGCATATCAATTAAAATATCTTCTTCACAGTCATTCTATGTTGTTCAGGCTCACTGCATGCATCCAAAATGAATCTTTTTGTAAAACTGGAGTCCAGATTCTTCCCCTGACATCCCACCCCAGAACACATCTGAACAACTATGAGATGTCATGGCCCTACCATTTCAAGTTCACAAAAAACTGGGGGAAAATTAAAGGTTAATCTCACAGTTGTAACCATCAGCTCTGGCATCGAGTTCACTTTGATATATTTTATAGATTATTTTTAAGAAACTGAAAATTTTCTGGGATATGAATTGTCCAAATGCTTTTCCTTGCATCATTTTTCCATATTTCATTTCTAACACTTATGGCCAATCAGGCAGAAAAGGAGATGAGTTCAGATCTGATGTTTAATTACAGCTTAGTGTCCTGGGCATGACATTATCTTTTTATTTTATTTATGTTCTCTTTGGCTGCCATTAATACTGTTATTTGAAAGTTCACGGGTTTTGTTTTTATATTACTCTACATGATAAGCAAAGTTTTCTGGTTCAAAATAACCACAGATATATAGAAAACTACTTATTGAAATTCACCTTATATAAGACGAAGAATATAGAACAGTTACAGTAATAATTGATCACACTTAGGTATTGTTGATTAGTGGAGGTTATTGGAACATCTTGCGGGGGAATGGTGGCTGGATAAGGAAGCTGAGCCTTTCTTCAAACATTCTGTGTGAGAACTGGGCAGGCCTTAGTCGTGCAGATTGGTTTGAGAATAATTTTCTCTACCCTGGCACTATTCAATCTTTACAATTCTTCCCCAAATCCTGCACACTTTTGAGAGTAATATGGGAGCAAGACAGATGTATACACTCATTTTAAAACAGCTTGTAATCCACTAAATAAAAGTAAAAAATGAATCTTCTGTCCACATTGCTTTTTAAGAGATATCAACCACTCCTTCCGAATAAAGTGAGGGAGTCAGAGATATACTTGGAGACATTTGTGTGTATGTTTTTAATTTCAGGTTGAACTACTGGGACATGGACAGCCACTTCAATGGACTCCTTTGGAGCAAAATGGCATCATGGTAGAACTGCCTCAGCTAACTGTTCATCAGATGCCCTGTAAGTGGGGCTGGGCTCTAGCACTAACTAATGTGACCTGATTTGCAGTAGAGTGCTTCCTGATGCAGTTATATCTAAGACTAGAATGTATTAGGTTTCTATAATTGTAGCACACAGAGAAAGCAAATGTAAAATTGGCCCAGAATTTCCTAAATTACTCACATAACTGGTTTAACTCTCCAGTGCACTTTGCTATTGACGTCCCTTCACACTGAATTTATTTCCACGTGTGATTCAGAGGTGGGGATTTTGTTTCAGAGTAGTGAGGAATTGGTGGTGTTAAGGACTGAGTCGTGTCTTCTGCCAAATTCACATGTTGAAGCCCTAAGCCCCAATGTGATTGTATTTGGAGATTTTAAAGAAGTAACTAAGGTTAAATGAAGTAATAAGAGTGGGACCTTAATCCAATATGACTGGAGTCCTTATAAGAAGAGGAAGAGCACGGATGCAAGCATATGGAGGAAAGACCATGTAAGGATGCAGTGAGAAGGTGGCCATCTGCAAGCCAAGGACAGAGGCCTCAAGAGAAACCAAACCTGCTGACACCTTGGGCTTTCAGCCTTCAGAACTGTGAGAAAATAAATTACTGTTGTTTAAGCCATCCTATATGTGGTATTTATTATGGCAACCCTAGCCGACTAATAGAGGTTCATAGGTATATAATAAATTTGGCTTAATATTTATTTCCAATGCTTACAGTAATTTTCTTTTTATAAAAAAAATTGTCTTTTTTTCCCTCTTGGTAATAAAACTGATATGTTCACTATAGATATCTAAAATTATACAGAAATGCTTAAAGGCAAAATCACTGTTAAGATCACCACTACTAATATTTTAGTATGTATTCTTCTACGTTTTTCTTTGGCAGGGGGAGGTGAGTGTGTGGGATTGGAGGTATGGGCCTATTTTTGTAGGTGGGCTAATTTGAGGACCAATTTAAATTAATAAATTTACTTCCTGTATATGCTTTTAAGCAAATTGAAGTTGAACAGCTAGCTGAAAATTAGGAAGTCTATTCAGATCTTCCCTAAGAATGAAGCAAAAATAATACTGATATTGATGTAAATTCAAAGAAACACTGATTAAAGAACTCACTCCCCTTAACAAAAGATGTTCCACATGGCTAGATCTTTATTTGAAGTGCTACAGGCTTCATTTTGTCATATCAATCAAATGTGGACATCTCATTGTTCCCTATAAATGCTTCAAGTAGACAGGGAAATAAAATACTATTCATATTTATTTTCTAAAATCATCTTGAAGTTGAAAATCTTAAAAAAAATTATTCATTGCTGAAGTTTCTACAACTATCAAAATTTTGAAACCATGCCGAAGTATTTACATGAATAAGTACTTTAAGAGTTCTAAATCCCAAGTAACATTTTATTAGAGGTCCAACAAAGACAGATTTACATGATCCCAAACATTAGACTAAGGAAAAACAAAAAAAGGAAAAAAGCCCTCAAACAAACCCAAATAAACAGGGTTAGAAGAATCTTAACATAAAAGTGAGGTCATCTGTTTGTTTGAAGAAAGTTTTTTTTTTTTTTTTTTTCCACAGTACGCGGGCCTCTCACTGTTGTGGCCTCTCCCGTTGCGGAGCACAGACTCTCAACCACTGCGCCACCAGGGAAGCCCTGAAGAAAGTATTTTTGAGACTAAAAACCTGTCAATCATTTAAATTCCTACCCTGTCCATCTTGACCTTTACAAATACAAAGAGAATATAGAGGGAAAATGGAACTATTTAAGCAAATTATAGTTAGGTATAGGGTTTAGTTAATGGGTAGCTCTGAGGGAGCTAAATGATAAAATACAGCTCAGCATTCAGAGGTGCTGATAAAATGCTTTGCTAATAACCAGAAATTATATATGAAACAGAATGAGACACCGAATTTAAGTTTATTTAAGGTATATCTTGCTTATATGTGAAATATACTATAAGTGGGACTCATAACAAGCCTTTTAAAATATTCCATCAAATTCTTAGCATTATCATTGGTATGGAGGGCAAGAATTATAGTAAGGATAATTAAAAACCAGAGCTCTTATTACCTATTTTAAGCCAATAGTTCTTATCCCCCCAAGCAATTGTGCCTTTTCCCAGAGTTACTAAATAGGCACAAAATTGACTTGTTTTGAATTTCAGTAACTTTGGATTTTTCTTTAATGATGAGAAATATTGAAGGCAAGCAAAGCTAGATTATTAGACTGAATGATTTAGACATTGATAGCATTTAAAATATGGATATCACTTTAATAAGACTCTATCTTATTTTCTTATGAGTGCCACACTGAAGCAACACAATTACTTTAAAAGGTCAGGCTAGTCAAATAAATATGAATTAGGACAACAGAAAACAAGACAGATGTTTTGCCTTCTGTTCATTTCAATTTTGTAAGTGAAAGACCTGGTTAGATAAAAACCTTCCTAACTTGCAAAAAAATAAATAATTGTTCATATCAGATTTTTATATATACACAGTAACCAACACATTTATACAAGTTTGAAGGAGAAAGTAGAAGCTGTTTTAAGTAATCTCCATTTAACCAACTCACTAGATTAACGGATGCTCTCCATTTTCTTGGAAAAGCGTACTGATTGACGCCCAGGCAAGCTGCAGGCTTTCAGTTAGTAGGCTTCTGTCTGGCACATGCTTCACCTTGATTTTCACTTGCTGCAATACATGTTTACCAAGGGTTAGTTGAGTTCGTTACTGTTATGGGTTGAATAGTGTTCCCCAATAATTCACGTCTACCCAAAAGCTCAGAATATGATCTTGGAAGTAGTGTCTCTGCAGATGCAATTAGAGTAAATATTGAGGTAAGATCATACTGGATGCGGGGGTCACAAGCACGTAAAAGATGACCATATGGAGACAGAAGCAGAGACTATGCTGCTACAAAGCCAAGGAATTCTTGGGGCCACCAGAAGCTGGAAGAGTCAAGGAAGGACTGGAGGGATTCTTCCTTAGAGTCTTCAGAGGGAGCATGGCCCTGCTGACACCTTAATTTTGGATTTCTAAGCACCAGAATGGTGAGAGAATAAATTTCTATTGTTTAAGCCACACAGTTAGTGGTAATTTGTTATGGCAGTTCTAGGAAACAACTATAGTTACCAAACTGATTATGCCAGTAGAACTTTTTATCATGTTGCATAAGCGGATGAAATGAGTGTGAACAGTTATAGTTTCTGTGAAAACCAAGTTGAATACTTTGGAAAAACTAGATAAACGTATGTTGCCTTTTTTTTTTTTTTTCCAATTTAAATGTACTGGTTAATTAATTGTGCGTAAAACAGTTGTAAAAGGACTTCCCTGGTGGCACAGTTGTTAAGAATCCACCTGCCAATGCAGGGAACACAGGTTTGATTCCTGGTCCGGGAAGATCCCACGTGCCATGGAGCAACTAAGCCCGTGCGCCACAACTACTGAGCCTGCGCTCTAGAGCCCGCGAGTCACAACTACTGAAGCCTGCACGCCTAAAGCCCGTGCTCTGCAACAAGAGAAGCCACTGCAATGAGAAGCCCACGCCCTGCAACGAAGAGTAGCCCCCGCTCGCCACAACTAGAGAAAGCCTGCACGCAGCAACGAAGACCCAACGCAGCCAAAAAAAAAAAAAAAGTTGTAAAAGACTGAAGGGAAATATAGTAAAAATCTACAAGAATTCTGTACCCCTGGTTTACAACTATATAATGTAATACATGTGATCTGTATAAGAAAGACAATTAGAGAACCCTTAGAAGCAGACCTACATTGAAAAGGTAGAAAAGACATGGGTCCTACATTCAATAACTGGCAAATAAAGATTATTTATATTTTAAGTTAAAATATCTAAGAATACATGTGTTATTTTTTAAATGATACCCTGCTTTAAATGACTTCTTGGATTAACCAAACAACTAAGGGTCCCAGATAAAAGGGCTCCTACTGTACAATTAGAAGACAAATTTATAATGTCTAAGTCCAATTAGCTTCAAATACATGTCATTTTTACCTTGTCATCTCTAAAACTGCTACAACTCTACAGAGGTAGATGATTCCAGGTGATAATTTTCAGATGATCAGCTTTCTATCCTTAACAAGGCTGCACCTGTTCATTCTCAAAATTTCCTTGGATGAAATCCTGGGTTAATATTGCTGGAAGAGATGCATGCCCTATTACACACACATTTACTAATTTTCCAAAATACAGTTTTTCCACCACGCTATTAGAAATAACATCATTATATTCTGTCAAATTTTGAAAAGAAGCATTTGCTCTCCTCTCCACTTTTACATCTGTTTTTTCTGGTTTTCTTGTTTTGTTTTTTGTTTTTTTAAAAAAATATTCTAGGCATAGATTCCCTAGTGGTTGGCTTCAGGCCTAACCTGGCCTTAGAAGAGACTTCACAATTCATTTTCTACCTTCTACTATTTAGCTATATGTTGTATGTTAGAGAAATAAAACAACATAAAATGATGCTACTGAAAATATTCTTATGCTACTGAAAGTATATCTAATATAATGACGATCATGATTCATTTATTTCTCCTCTAATTACCCATATAAAGAACTATAGATTTACTAGAACAATGAATTATTTCTTTTCAGAAGGAAATGCTATTTATTTTTTCTAAACAAGTAAGTTAAAAGAAAGCAACAATTACCAGTTAAAATGAAACTTGAAAACTAGTGTAATCTCCAAAAATAACAGCAAAAATGCTATGGGACAAATAAATTAATAGCTGTAAAGTATTAACTCAATAAAACCATATTTTACTAAAATACTTTATTGCAATAAGATTCACTGTTCAAAATCAATACAAAGTAAGTTATTAAAATTATTTACAAAAAATGAATGAAACTATGTACAGTAGTTAATCATGGCTGTGAGTAAACGGCATCAACACAATTTTTGCCCCTAAATCAATATGTAGTTTCCTAAGGATTGTTAACAACAGTAAAGAAAAAAATTGCTGATCATAGTTGTTCCCTATTTTTTTCTGGCCGTGCCACGCGGCATGCAAAATCTTAGTTCCCCCTACCAGGGATCAGGGATCGAACCCGTTCCCCCTGCAGGAGAAGCGGGGAGTTTTAACCACTGGACTGCCAGGGAAGTCCCGATCACAGTTGCTAAATTAACTGATTTCTATAAAAAAACGAAGTCCTCAATCAGGTATATTTAAGACAAATAATTTATCCCTTTGAATACTAACTGGAAGTCTGATTCACTCCTGTATACTGTAGTCCAGAGAACTTAATGATTAAATAGCATTATTTTCCAGACTTCACACCTACTTCCCAAACAGATTTTACCTCAGTATTAATGTCAAAGTATACTGAATTTCCTATTATATAAAAAAAGTATCTACATTAATCAGTTTGGAACTAATATCCATGGTGTAACAAATTATTAACAATTCTGACATTTGCCCTGTGTACACTCAGATATGCCCACAAAAACCAGTTTGTTGATGACTTTAAAAAAATATATTAAGATGCCAAATAAATCTATTTTATTATGAAATGAAGACTTTGATTATGAATATATTTTTATTAGACATTTCAGTACCAAATCATTACCCTCTATATAGTTGATTTATTCAGTGTATTTTTTAAAGCAAATGAATTCCACTGTAGTTCTTCCTGAAGGAAAAAATCATTTCTCCAGTTGTTGAGGAGTACTAAAGGCCTCGTACACATTAGCAGCGAAGTCTTTCACTTGCTCCATCATTAACAGATCCTAGCAAAGACAACAATAAAACATTACAGTTTATAAAAAGAACAGATAATCAGAATTCATTTCTGTAATCAAGCAACAAAGTTAGCTCTAAGTTTTGTGGCATTAAGGCCCAAAAGAAAACCATTTAATGAAAGAAGTAGTTTTTCTTATAATAAATTCCTGGAGACGTTTATTGTTTAAGTTCTTACGTAAGGGATAGTGGATATGATAAGTATTCAAGTGTGGCTTAGAGAAGAAGACCCAAAATAGTCTTCAGATGGATTTCTGTGTGTGTCAAGTGCTAGAAGAATATCTGTTGAATAAATGATTACAACACTACACAAGTCTAAAGGTACTTTTGCTGGAAGCTGACATGACATGATTGAGGTACATTACTTTCTAACATAGAATATATGTAGTATATCATATATTACATATACGCACATACATAATCACACATATACACCTGAGAACAGGGGTTCTTAAGGGATCTGTGAATGTAGATAAGGAAAAAATTACATCTTTATTTTCATTAACCTTCAACTAAAATCTAGCATTTCCTTCAGTTATGAACGTAAGCAACAAACTGATAGTAGTAGCAGAACCTATGAATTTGCCTTTAGTAGAAATCAGACATTTTTACATCATATGATAGACAGTTGTGGAAGTTACATGAAGTGCCATTACATCTTGTTATTTAATGCATGAACAACGAAGCAATATTGCTATATCGTAAATTTGATTTTTAAAAGTATTTTAAAACTGTATGCAATTGGTTTTCTTTAAAACCTATGTATTTTACAATATGCATTTATAGGCATTATTCTGAGGGGGCGTCCATAGGCTTCTCCAGATAGTGAAAGGATCTATGACAACAGAAACCATTAAGTGCCCTGTGAGCAGCAGAGAAACAAGAAGTGAACCTATCCTTTGTGTTTTCTCCTAAGCATCAGAAAACCCAAGTGAGCTTAGGTAACTCTTGATCTCACAAATTCAACGTTAAATTCTCTGAATACCACGTGGCATTTTAACTCATAGAAATCATAGTTAAAAAAATTGGTGGAAGTCTTGTCAATTAATGGTCTAGTCTATAAACTCAATCTACATCCAGTCACACTAAGAAAATTTACTAAGCATTCGTATCAATGATGGTTTTACTAGGTTGAAACCTTTTGTCTTCATCCTCAATTATACAGACTTTAATTAATGTAGAACATAAATTACTTAAGCACCAGAGCTGGTGTTGTATTACGCTTAGCTGTATTTCCCACTTGTCAAGATGAACAGCTTGCTGATGAAGCCAGAGACTTCATGAAAATGGAGAAAGATAAAGTTAAGGTGTAAATGCCAGAAGTTATAACTTTTTTTCTCACACTAATATACATGTAAAAATTTTTAAAAATAAACAGAAAATTTAAAACTAAGTTTTTAATTAAGATTTTTTGAGCTTAAATTAAGCTTAAAATTAAGTGAAATGAGATCAGCCTTATTCATTCTTTCTTCTGAAATATGAATGGCTAATTCTCATGGGTGAGAGGATGACACAGAAGACTGAAGAGGACAGTGAGGAAAAGTAGCACGTTAAGGACAAGCTCATGACACTATACAGAGAAAGGAAGAATTACAACCCACAGTCTCAGGACTCTTCATGTCCTCAAGCAGAAATCCACAGAGATAAACGATACTGAGAAGATACCATCTTTACACTTAGGTCTCTTCGCACTGCACATTATGGCAGTGGTTTGGAACTGAGGTGTGAGTGATTTATTACTTGTTATACAGTTTCCAAGTTTGCAAGTGACTTGGAAAAAAACCTATGGATTCAAAGTTGTCCTTTTAATAAAATCAGTCTTACTCAATGTATTCTAAAATGCTTTCCTAAGAAAGGAGATGGAGTTATAGGTAGTCTAATGAAAAATTTAAATAACCGACTGAGTATGCAGTTTTTAATGAGCAGTATATTGGTGCACTATTAACTGTTGTATTTACTAGCTATTAAGATGCTTTACTTTCCCACAAAAATTTTAAATTTTTCCTCAAAATGTGAGGAATTAGTTTGCTGATTTGCCTCAAGGCTCAACTTTTCTACTAGCACAGCTTAATGCAAAACAGTAACACTGTAAATTCAACTGACCACTAGAATGTATTTGGACTAAAATGTAGTCTGTGTAACACGTGTTGGACTATAACATGGAGAAAGGTATTCCCAACCTCATAAAAGTGCCATGATACATTATTACTCTCATGGGTCATTCTACCATACTCTACATGTGGTTTCAAGTTTTTGGTTTCTTTGAACAAATATCATAGAAGAGAAATGTAATTTTATGTTGGACAAATAGGACCACAACCAAGAGTACAGTCTGTTTTTAATAATACCCCCAAGCTTTCCTCTTACCTGCACAAAATGACTAGGTGTTTCACTGCAAACTGAATGGATCTGTCCATTTATTATTGGAATTATCTTAGCTAAAGGCAGGCTGACACTGGAAAGACTGAAAAATCATCACAGTAATAATTATTTTCTTAAATTATCTTATAGGAACTTAATATTTTAATTATAAAAGTAATAGTCATTGAAAAGTACTAATAAGAAAATAAAAACCACATATAATTCTACCACCTAGAAATAACAACTATTATGTCAATTGACATCATAATTAATTTCTTCCAGTAATTTTTTTTTTTTTTTTTTTTGCGGTACGCGGGCCTCTCACTGTCGTGGCCTCTCCCATTGCGGAGCACAGGCTCTGGACGTGCAGGCTCAGCGGCCATGGCTCATGGGCCCAGCCGCTCTGCGGCATGTGGGATCTTCCCGGACCGGGGCACGAACCGGTGTCCCCTGCATCGGCAGGTGGACTCTCAACCACTGCGCCACCAGGGAAGCCCCTTCCAGTAATTTTTTATATATACATATCTATACTTTTTGTGTTTTTAACACACAACTATAACCTCCCAAGCAACACTTGTTTTGCATTTTTATTCACAGGTTATAATCATTTTTCCATCTCATTAAAAGTTCTTCCAATGTTTTTGTCTGTTTTTTAATAATTATATAGTAATCCATCCTCTAGCTGTGACAGTTTGTATCATCAGCTCCCTACAGCTGGGCATTTAAGTTTTTGCCTAATATTCCTTAATATAAATAACTTTTTGTATTTACAGTAAATTACTGGGTCGAAGGGTATGAATGCTTTTAAGCTTTAAAATGTGTATTGCCAAATGCTCTCTGCTTCTCTAACAGTTTATGAGGATACCTGCTCTATCATGCCTTCTTTCTACATCAAGCATTATCTTTTTCTTTAACCTTCATATGTCTGACAGCTGAAAATGGCATCTCACAGTTTTGGTCTGTATTTCTCTTAATTACTAGCAATGTCAAAATTTTTTTCCTCTACTTCAGTGAACTGTACTGTCATCTAGTCAGCTGAGTAAGTAGGAAACCTGGGATCATCGGTACTTCCTTCTCCTGCCTATATCCAGCCTCTCCACAATCCTCAATATTTCTTAAATGTGTCTACTTCTCCCCATTGCCAAACCTATCCACACTAAGCATTATCTCTTCTCTAGACCACAGCAATGACCTTCTAACCTGTAAATGCTCAATAAACATTTCCTGGATGAATGAATGAATGAATGTTATGTGTGACTATATATATAATGACTGTCAACTAATGAAACTACTTTTTGTGTGTGGGTTAAAGGCTTGGTTTATTACATAAAATATCACATTTCATACATTTAAACCTGGGACTACACTAAAATTTTCCTTTTAAATATCATGAAAATGCTGAAGCTATGGTATCTAACTAGTATGCTGTGCTAAGATTTGAGGGAATGCTTAAAATGAAAAAAGTGGAGAGATTTATGCATTCCTGAAGAGATCAGTCATTATTCTCCTTCACAGTACCTTTGCAGCATTTTTCTTTTTTTGTTTTGAATTTTTAAATTTAATTTATTTTTTATACAGCAGGTTCTTAACAGTTATCCATTTTATACATAGTAGTGTATACACGTCAATCCCAATCACCCAATTCATCTCACCATCCCACCCCCCACCCCACCACTTCTCCCCCTTGGTACCTTTGCAGCATTTTTCAAAACCTGTCATGATTTTTGTTTGATGTGTCTCTTTATATGTTAGTGAATTTGTCTTCCACAGAAATTGAAGACAGCACTACCACACAAGGTCCATGTGGTTTCATGCCTACCTCACTCACTGTATTATCCTAGCACTTTGTAAAGGGCCTGGTGCAGTGTGTGCTCAAAACATACTTGTTGACACGATTAATAAAAGTTTCATTCATCCATTGCTATGTCCCACCCCCAATGTCTACTTTCCCAATTCCACCTTCACAAAGCAATCAAAGTGATCCTACAATGTAAATCCCATCCTGTCACTCTCCTGCCACTTTTCTAGTGGCTCCCCAGCATTCTCAAGCTGACAATCATAACCTGTATGTGCTGAATTCTCCAACTTCATCTCACACCATTCTTTCCCTAGTTCCATCCTTTCAGCTACCACACTGGTCTTCCAGGTCCTCGAAGTGTTACTGTGGTCCTCCTGTCTTCAAAGTCTTTGCGCTATGCCTTCTGCTCTGAATGTCAACTGCCTCACTCTATCCAAGACCTCATCTTTTTGTTCTTGTTCAAATTATTTCCTTGCAAACTCTGCTTGACTTTCCATGTTTGTTCAAATACTTCTATTATATGCTCAACATTCTTTTCCTATATAACACTTACCATAGTTTATGCAATTATGTTTACTGTCTGTTTCTCCTACTAGATTATAAGATCCGTGAGGACAGAGACTTAGTAAAGTACTTGATAAACAGCAGATGTTTAATAAACAGATTTTAGATGAATGGACAAATTGGTCATCTCTACCTGCTCTTTTGTGAATTACGTTTGTGTCTCTGACCATCTCCTTCTTTGGGTTTCCTTCCTTAACTGATGCGTATATAATGCTATTAACCTCTGTATATGATGCATATAATTTGCAAATACTTCCCCAATATATCATTTGCATTTAATATTGATTATAAAGTTATAACTTGCTTGATCTTTAACTTTTAAATTTTACCGCCAAACATTATTTTATTCATATAAAGTTCTTTACTTTCATTCTTAGAAAAACGTTCTCCATCTTGAATCAGCTAAATATTCACCTGTTTTCTATCACTTCATTTATGTTTTGATTGTTTAAACCCCCTGGTTTTTGCTTTTGTTTTTGTTTCTGGCTATAAGTATGGTACAGAAGGGCTCTAACTTTATTTTACAATTAGTCATCTTACAATGACTGTCTTACCGTTATTTACTAAATAATACATCTCTTCCTCACTTTTATCATATTTTATATCTTGTATATTTTAGAGCCTGTTTCTGGATTTTTAGATGAAGCTATGGTATCTATTCCTAGTAACATATTATTTGAATAACTGTACCTTATAATACATGTTCTATAGGGAAAGTATTCATTGCTCTACTTCTTCAATAATTTCTTGAGTATTCTCAGCCCTTTATTCCTCCTTTAGTACTACCACTTTTTTTTTTTTTTTTTTTTTTTTTTTTTGCGGTATGCGGGCCTCTCACTGTTGTGGCCTCTCCCGTTGCGGAGCACAGGCTCCGGACACGCAGGCTCAGTGGTCATGGCTCACGAGCCCAGCCGCTCCACGGCATGTGGGATCTTCCCAGACTGGGGCAGGAACCCGTGTCCCCTGCATCGGCAGGCAGACTCTCAACCACTGCACCACCAGGGAAGCCCAGTACTATCAATTTTTCAGGTTCAAAAATAACAAAGCAACCACTCTCTAATCCTCAGTGGATTTTGATGGTACTTTGACCACATTTATAGATTAATTTTGGGAAGCTAACTTTACAAATTTTAGCTGATTCTCTTGGATTTCTAAGTATAAAATCATGTCACTTTCATATAACAATAACTTTTTTCTCTCCCTTTCTGAAACTAATGTCATTTTCTGAAGATAAGAATTTAACTTAGAAAATCAAGAGTCAACTAACAGTTCATTATACAGTAATAAACATTCAGTAAGTGTCTCTTTGCAAAATAAATATATAAAAATCACTGGCATTCCTGAATTTGGTTCTCAAAATTGTCTCTTCCTAGTCTTACTGCACTGGTTATAATAATAAAATGATGCTGAATAAATATGTCAATAGTGACCATCTTTATACTGTTTTTAATTTAATGGAAATAATTCTAGTGTGTTGCCATTAAGTATAACATTTGCTTTTGATTCAAATATCTTATTATATAAAAAGGATTTTTTATTTCTAGAAGAGGTTTTATCAGTAATAAAAGTTATATTTTATTGAATGCTTTTTCAGCAACACTGAAGATGATGCTTGTTTTTTGTCCTATTAACTTATTAATGTTATGAATTAGTGTAATAACTTTGTTAATGTTTAAACTTCCTTGCATTCTTAAAATAAACCCTAATTAGTCACAGTCTTGGAGAATAACTAGAAATTCCAGGCTCTGATGTGAGACAAATGTGAGTGAACATCTGGCTTTGCTACTCGCTGGCTGCGTGACCACAAATTATTTAATTTTTCTCTGTCTTAGTTTCCTCACCTGTGGCAAGAGGAAGATACTAGTACTTACTTCCTAGGGCTATTTTAAGAATTCAATGAGATAATGTTCTGAAAAATACCTATCATACTTGTACGTAGAAAAAGAAAACAGAAGTACTGGTCACTAGTATTACTGCTATATATTTCTGGATTTCATTTGTTTATATCTTATTTAGGACTCATATCTATATTCATACTTTAAGTGTATAGTTTTTCTTTTACATCCCATGTTTATCCATCATATTTTCTATTGGGTTGTTTCTTGTGATAGGAAAACTTTTAATATTATATATATATATGTTTATATACACACATATGTTATATGCACATGTTGTATATATAGTATATATATAAATATATACATATATATGTAAAATTTAATGTTTTATTAGTTTACATCATTTTTCTGTTAATTCTCTTGAGGGTTCTGGATTATTAATTGTAGTGCACATAATTAGTGATACCTTCTCTCTTTGCCAATAGTTAAGTATAAACACTGAGTACTACAGGAGTGATAATGAGTACTACAGGAGTTCAGAAAAGACTATCAATGGCTGATGTAATTGTAACATAATTTTTATAATTCTTTAGTGTATAAGATCAAGTATTTGTTTATATTATATCAACTATTACAATTCTTATAACTACTCAGGAAATGACTAATACTTCTGCTAGGTAGAGATTATAGTGAAATTTTGTTGACTGGAGCACCTTGAGTATTTTATAGAGGCTGAAATTTTTTTTGATAATTTAAAGAACTGCTAAAGAAGATTTTAGGATGATATTTAAACTGCTTCAGAAAATAAATTTTATGATGCTAGGCATTCCAAATCCTCAATGTTAACTGCAAATTATTCCTTTTTGTATAATAAAGATGGGTCCCAGAGAACTGGGCAAATAAAATAGTCTTGCCCTGTGTATTTCAGAATTAAATTGGACATTGCACATACATACTGCATATCAGTTACTGTTACCCCTAATTTTAACAGATGAGTTTATAGTCAGTTAACATTGATTTAGTACCTATTATTTTCTGAATTTAACTTAAAAAACTGCAAAAGAGTGTAAATCCTAATAGGAGATTCAAGGTGCTCATGCTGAGATGATAAGAATATAATAAAACCATAAGATATCTTTTGGCAGTGTGAATCCATGACTTAGTAATAGTTATGATTAAAATCGCTACCAATTGCACTAACTAAACATTCCTAATCCTACAATAAGGGCTGTAGAACTAGGAGATAATTCATCAAGTGGGAATTTAGAAACAAGAATGCTTGGCTGAATTATACAGGCTAATTATGGCTTATAGTACTGGAATAATATAAGAGAAAACATTAAAACTTAAATAACATTTTCAGTTTTGTATTCTAAAGAGTTAAATCTAAAAAGCCCCAATAATTGAAATTTGGCCTATAGAAAAATAGTTTCACAACTTAAGTACTTTATATAGTGGCAAAATTTTTGGAAGAAATGAAAAGTTTTAATATTGAATACTGAAAGAGCTCCTCCTAATGAAGGAGTCATTGGTTGAACAGAGTTTAATTTGTTGAAAAAACAAACATTCAAATTTATCCTCTAAGATATTTTTGTTACCTGGAACAAAAAATAAACACATCCCAAAGCACTATTTTATTAGAACATTCTTTAGACTGATAACATTCTTTTATGTCTTCTTACCTATTCATGGAGTTACCGTGTTGCAGGTCCTGTTCAGTAGGTCGAAAGAACTCAGCCATATTGTCTAGCAGTCTACTAAATCCTCGGTTTAGACAGGTATTCAAAACTGTACTAAAATCTGGACTACACAAAATAAGAGGATAAGTTACTTTTCAGATTTTCAATCGAAAAGGACACAAATTTAGTAACGATGTGGTTACCTTTGACAACCACCAACATTTCTAGTCACAATTTAGTTTTTAGACTAAAACACTATAAAAATATATCAAGGAGTCAATCTTAAAAGTTAAGCATAAAAAGTGAGCTTATTATTTAGCACAACACAATGAGATTATTCATGCATTTTGCTAGATTTTCTTACATTAGGCAGCACTTTATAAGTGTATTTTTATAAATATCAATAAATAGTATTACTTCTCTTGAGGAAACACTTGAAGAGGAATCCTCTTATAGTCACAGGTTATTGGTTTGCCTTATATACTCTATCATATCATCCCAGTGAAACAGAATATTTTATTAACATGTACAACAGATGAGGAACTGGATACTTGAGGGATGAAGAAATCTGTCCAAAGGTTATGTAATTAGTAAATATGGGAGCCAGAATTTGAACTCAGGCCTTTTTGATCTTAAAGTTCAAGCTCTTTTTGTTACATCATGTCAGTACCTCACAAAAACTCTTTGATATAAAGAATAATATATGTATGCTATGAGAGTTAGAAACTGCCTAGTTGAACAGATTAGTTCTATCTTCGACATGTAGAAATCTCAATTCAACTCATGAGAGTGGAGGGCTAGGGCTATAAGTTTGGGAATTACTAACATACAGACAGTAAATTAATAGGAGTATATAAAATTGCTTGGGGCAGCCTGAGGATGAAATAAGAACAAATACCTGGGAAACACTAATATTTAAAGGAAAGGCAGGCATAGAGGAACCTAAGAAGAAATGATCTGAGAACTGAGAGAAAAATTAGATTTTTCATTGAAGCCGTAAGAGAAAGGAATTTCAAGAAAGCCTTGATCACCAGTGTCAATTACTAGAGAAAGGCCAAGTAAGATGAGCATTACATGTTGACTGGATTTGGCAAAAGTTCACTGATGACCTTTTTCTAGAGCTTCATGGAGTGGTTTGAATAAGAAAAAGGTAGAGATCGCTACTGTAGAAAGTCAAGGGACTAGAACTTGATGAATTCAGATAGTAGAGTCAGTAGCTGAGTTAACCTAAAAATTTGCTGATTTTCTTCAAGATTATGAAAAAATATTATAAACAAAGGATATAATTTGCCCAGAAAACAGAACTAGAAAAAAACTAGAAAAAATGATCTTAAATTATCTTTAATTGAAAAGAAACTTTGATATTTTAATCACTTAAGATAAAGTGGATGGAACTGGTATTACCACTAAGATTTCACAATGATAGAACTACCTCAACGAGTGTTAAGTGGCTCAATCAAGGTTGACCAGATAATAAATAGGACAGCCAACCTTGAATCTAGGTCCTCTCGTCTTCTAATGCATAATCTGATGTTTTTTCCATTTCTAACACTCTGGCTCTCTTCTGGGTAATTTAAAATAGTAATACTCAGTTTAGGGAGGATGTGAAATTTTTATCACTCAAAGATTCAGGAACATTATAGACTATCCTGAAAGGGTTAGGGGAAGTAGTTCTCAAAATTGAGTACAGGTGTGTGTGCATACACATAAGCATGTGTGTACATGTGTCTACACCTGAGGCCTAGCTGGAGCTGGCTAGCTTTGGCTGCCAAGAGCATCTTTTCCCAACTCTCCAAGTCAGCACTGAGTGACGTCAAGTTGGTAGTCAGCACTGCTGTGGCTACAATTTGTTTCTGGTCTTTTTTCTTTACAGGGCTGGTTGTTAACCATTTACCACTACACACTGAGCATATGAGAATCACCCTTGAAAGCTTTCCTCAAAATATAAACGCTAACTATCTTCCAGTGCCTTAACTAGTAGATCAGAGTCTCTAGGCTAGGAAAGTAGGTGGGGGCAAGGCATGGGTATCCTAAAAAAAAATCTTTGCTTCCCTCCCCACCCTAATAAGAGGACCATTAGTTTAGGTAGGAAATCCTACTTAAGGCAGGGGAATAGATTTTAAATTTAATTTTAACAAAATATTATGTTGAACGTTGTTCAAAAAAAACTATAAAATGGTCATAAGTACATTCAAAAAAGAAGCACATGCTTTCTGTTACATGCAGTATACATACCTTTCCAACATGTCTCTAGTTTCATTGAGTAGTTTAATAGTGGTAACATCTCTAGGAGAAAGCCCACAGGCCTGTGAAATTAAAAGGCCACATTTCAGGGTTTCAAATATTAGCACAGGGTTATGATGAAACAAATCATATTAATAAACTCAGGAGTTCAGGAAGCCTAAAAGTCTGTGTTCTATCAACAATCAAAAAATGTTAAACTCAAAACACTATAAAGGTTCATGTGCACAGGTAAGCAGTATTTAGAACATGAGTCACAGTAAGATCTTTGTTTATCTGACCCCTCTTGGACACATTTCTAGAATATACTTACAAAGAAAAAAATAGCCTTTGAGGTTGCAGAGGCCAGGGATTTTTTTTCTTTGATTGTTAAGACTTTTTATCAGGATATGTATGTGTCTTTTCTCATCAATCTAGTTTAGTCTACGGCTCTGTGTGTCCTTTCAATCTGAAGTTGCAGGTTTAAATTTAACTCAGGTAAGATTTGGTCTATCATCCCTCTCTTCATCCGTTCTTTTGAATAATTTTCTTTTTTAATTCCACTGTTGAATTTTAAAATTTGGAAATTGCTTTATCATTCCAGAAAGCTTTTTAAATACTATTATTGCATCTCCTTGAGATTCTAATTTGTAAGTAAGTTTTCTCCTGTTTCTTTCATTAATTCTGTCAGGTCTGTTCTGCTCGTTCAATTTAGCCTCCATCCTGCAGTTCACAGGGTTTCCTCAGATGGTTTGCAATTTGTTTTTTGGCCTATTCATGAATGCAGGGTCTCTCAGTACCCACAAACATCTATCTCTGGGGTTTCTGGGCAAGGGGGAAACCGGCAGGCAATGAAAAACATGGCAGTCTTTGTTCTAACAGGACCTTTATGCTGAGGTATGGCATAGGGGCCTCTCTGGTCTAAGACTTCTCCAATTGTTAAGTGAGAGATATTCTTCTCTCAATGGCAAAGAATGGATGCAATCCACTTAGGTATAAAATTTTTAAAAAATGAGGTCTATAACCTGTAACCTTTGGCATTTTTATTATTCTTAACCAATGAATAACTTAAATCACAACTGGCTGGGACACACCAGTGTATAGCAACACCATAGTTGATATATGTTAGATTAGGCCTTCTTTGTTTCTCAACTGGATGACTCCTTCAGTCCATTCAGATAATGCCATCATTGATTCGTCTTAAAAAGCAAATGTGATTGTGGTACTGGCTTGATTAGAATTTGAAATGGAAGTTGACTCTTTATCTTGGCACACAAAGCTCTTTAGGATCTTGCCCCAACTACCAGCTTTATCTTCTGTTACCTGACCTCATACAGAAATGCTCTAGCCAAAGGAATTGAATTTGTCTCCTGTGTTCCCCAGGTGTAATGAATACATCTTATTCATTTTATATCCCAATCATACTAGTGTCTGTCACATAACGAATATTCAATAAAATTCTGCTGAATATCTAAAGTTTTTTCTAACTGGAAGTCAGTTCCATTTACAGTTTGTTTTCTAAATTAATGAGGTTTTATTTAAATTACTAAAACACATGTCTTTCAATCACTTACCTTTCAAGAGACTCAGAAATCTAAATTTTAAGAGATAGTGAAAAAAACCTTAAAAAAAAAGAGTAATTCGTTTGGTTAAATGGTTATGAATTAAGCACCTGAACTGCTAACGGAGTTTCTTCATCTGGCATCATATAATGGCACAATAAAGATCTGGATCCATCGTTATTAATCCAAGAAGAAGATTTATGTTGCTCAACGAGATCTCTGATTTCTTTTAGTTTTTGCTCCAAGTCCAAAAGGGACAAAGAATGTTTAAGAGAAACACTAGAAACAGAGAAAAGGGAACTGGGATAAATTGAAACTATACAACACATCCTATACACACTCTTACCCTAACAGGTTACTACCTGAGATCCTGTTTCAACCAGTCAAACCCTGAAACTGCTGACTGTGAAATCACTAGAGTAGATTAAGAAATCAGCTACCCGTTAAGGACCAAGAAAAATCTTGCTGCAGATTTCACAAGAAAATTCCCACTGTATGAACGGGAGTTAAAAGCCTCAGACACAGATTTTTAAAAGCAGGTTTTTTATCTCATGACCCAAATATCTCTGGTTTGTTTGGAAATCAATCAATAAACAATGAAACATTAAATCTTTTCCCTTAGTATGAAAAGGTTGATACTGATGAAGAAAATGGATTCCACAATGTAACACCGCAGGGCTGTGTCCATATTAGGTTAAGAGTTTCGCAGACCACCATTTGTCAAATCACTAGCTTCATTAGAACAATTCGAATTTTTCTTTTATTCATCAGAATCAGTAAGTCAGAAAAGCCAAAGCAAAATGCCTTACCTTCCTAAAATCTTCTGCACAGCTTGTTTAATGACAGTAATCAATTCTGTCAGGCCTATTAAAGCAAAAACAAACATAAAAGCGTTGTTGACTTTTTCAATTCCTCAATACTACAAATGAATGAATCAGAATTAGTTTACAGGTCACGAATAAGAATCTTACCATCTCCAAGGAGGTGTTGAATACTTGATAAATATTGCTGTTGGACATCTGGGGGGGCAAGAACTGTCTGTATAAAACAGAAATAAGGTACCCAATATTATTAGTAAATAATAATATTTTCATTATAACTTGAGCTGAGATTCTTTAGGACCTGGAACGACAGGAAAAATACTATTCTTTAACATAACAAAAAGCCTAGCTTCAAAATATGAAGAATAATAATGCTAAAAGTTTATAATCACATGAAATATAAAGATATTTATTCTATATGAATTATCATGATAAATAATATTTGGTTAAATTTTGAACCTCTTGAAAGAAAGGGCAATATCTATTGAAGTCTATTAAACTTACGGTGCCATTTTTGCCAACTGCTGCATTATCCAGGTAAATATATCCACCAATTATGTTTAACTGGACTCGCAAAAGAACCACCAGCATGCAAGTACTGTACACAGCTACGATACTTCTTGTGAAACCTTTACAGAGAAAAGAAAACCACTTGGTACTAATTATTAAAATATAAACAAATGTGTAAAATCACAAACCATTCCTACAGTTATTTTTTCATAAGATGACTTTAAAAATACATTTGTAATTGTTTCAAGTACAAAAATATATCAATTCAAAACATTTCATAGTTTATCTGCTTAAAAAATGTTTATTGTAAATTAGGAATGATCTCTTAATTGAAACAATAACCAAAAAAAACAATAACGGATATATTCAGTGAAGGGTTATATATTATCAGCTTAGAAAGGAAAAAAAGAAAGGACTGGGAAGCACTAAGTGTTGCAGCCTCAGAACTCAGAGCTGTCCAGGGAGCCAGTCCTGAGTAAGAGAAGAGGGCTGAGCATGGAAGAGCTCCAGCCGTCAATGGCAGGTAAAAGGGGATAAAGGATAAGCCCATTAAAGGGCTGGAGGAAGGTACACAAAGACAGGGAAACACCCAGAGACCCGGCTAGGACAGCGTGTTCAAAACAGAGGAGAGAGAAAGGTGCTGACTCTTGTGGAGAGGTCTAGTAGGATGAAAATGTCCAGTGGATTTAGCAACACAGAAGTTACTAATGATGCTTGAGACATCTGCTGGGGTGGAGATACACAACTGGAAACCAGGCTCTAGTATGTCAAACAGTGAGTAGGAGTGCAGAAGGAAAGACAGGGAATGTAGAAATCTTTTGTATTATACAATGGATGTGAGAAAGTACAATAGCTGAAAGGAAATACAGGGTAGTACAAAAGTTTAGTTCATTTTCAAATAGGTAAAGTTTAAGCATGATTCAGTTGATAAGGATTAGTTGAATGGATAGGAAAACACAGGAATAACTGACAGTATGAAGTTCTGAGACATGGAGATACATCTATTCTAGGGCAGCTTTTTGCTACAAATTTTTATCACTAATCAAAGTTTGCATACAATATCAAAGTAAAGTTACTATCTGGGTTGGAGTAAAAACTTCCTTCAAAGTATATACTGTAGATATCAGTACCTAATATGCATATATGTAGTCTAGGACAGGTTTACATATTATCATAACAATAATAATACCACCACCACCGCTAAAATTTATTGAGTAGTTTCTATGACCATTGATCTACTTGCTTTATGAGAATTATTTAATCTGACAAAAACTCTATGAGGTAGGTAAAGAAGAGTTACCCACATAATAGAGTACAAAAATTCCCCGTTAAAAATATTTTAAGGCTGTTCTGTTGCACAGAATACGCAGGCTTACTTATTATCTTCAGATCCTCCCATATGTCTAGCTTGTTTGAAGGCCTAAAGAAAAATATCAGAAAATAATAATATAGGTAATCTAACAGAAAACTTTGAACTTTACAGCTCTATACTTAATTATATTTTATCACAGGATAACTGCAGAAAACAAAGCCCATAAAATATAGTAAAAACAACTGTAATTTCAGTAACTGATAATAACCATTTTCATAGTATCCTGGTGTATATCCTTCCAGTCTTTCTCCTCCTTCTGAGCATATGCATATGTGTATTATAAAATCAGACAGGAAAAGCAGGAATATTTATTTCTTTCCCTTATTTACTGTTTTATAAATAATGCAGTAGGTTCTATAACTCTTCAAAGGTAAGTAATGAAGTATTTTTTGTTTAAAAGTATCATTACAAACACATGCGTTTAAATGTGTGTTTGATGTGTTTCTACCCACTGTAGTTATTATCCTTACTGATGTTCAAACTGCCCATCTTTGACTATTGTGGGACTATTCAGGTTAGTTCCTAAGTCCTTTTGACACGACCCCTTTAGTCTTTGACAACTTCCTTGCTCTCTGACATAAAAAGCTGTTCTGGGATCATCTTGTTCAATTCTTGCTGCGAACCTGAAATCATCCATTTCTCTGAGAGTCCTGGTTCCTAGTAGTGGAAAATGGTAGTCTGAGACTTAATCCTTTGATTAAGGATGTTCATTGCTACTGGGTAGGTCATTATTTCTAAGCCTTTTCAGTAGACTAAGCTAGTAAATATCAATATATGTATGTATTTATTTATTTATATGAACATATATTCAAAGAGATAAAATACATCATGAATTCATATTGATACTTCTAATTCAAAATTAGGACCACTGGGTTTTTTAACAATCTCATTGTTCTTACATCTGTATTTCTTTTTGCTTACACTAGAAATCAGTGAAACTAACATAATTACTAATTTGCTTCATCCCTCACTCTATGGACAACGGTCTCAGAACAGCAATAGCAACAGTGAAAAGAGTTTAAGTTTTTTTTTTTCAATTCTGTATGCTCTAAGAGTATATATCCCACTAAAAACACACAAATTTCTATTTTTTTAATTAATTAATTAATTTATTAATTAATTTATTTATGTGTTTGGTCTTTCTGTGTGAGGGCTTTCTCTAGTTGAGGCAAGTGGGGGCCACTCCTCATCGTGGTGCGCGGGCCTCTCACTATCAAGGCGTCTCTCATTGCGGAGCACAGGCTCCAGACGCACAGGCTCAGTAATTGTGGCTCACGGGGCTAGCTGCTCCGCGGCATGTGGGATCTTCCCAGACCAGGGCTCGAACCCGTGTCCCCTGCATTGGCAGGCAGATTCTCAACCACTGCGCCACCAGGGAAGCCCTCAAATTTCTGTTTTAAAGTCACTTGGCATAGTTTCTCTTTTTGTGATTACAACATCAACTAGATACGCATTTGGGTTAATTTCATTTATTTTACTATCACTTTTTAAACATTGCTTTTTAAACACTAAACATAGTTTTATAAATATGTAAAATATTTATATGGTTCCAAACTCAAATTTATACAACACAGTATATTCAAAGAAGTCCATTCCTACCCACCTTTATTCTTTTTCTTCTTCATAGGTAACTATTAAAAAAATATACTTTAACTTCCCATTGTTTTCCTTTATATAGGCAAATATGTATATATATTCATATCTGCCCCCTTAGATAAATGGTGGCATTCTATACACATTTTCCTTTATCTTTTAAAAAAATATAACAATATATCCTGGGGATCATTCCATAATAGTATAGAGATAGTAGCCATCGTTTTTTGTTTTTGTTTTTTTTAAAACCATGGCATAGTACTCCACTCACTGTGTGTGTATACTACGTGGATGAAGTTCAGGGCTTTTCAAATCACCTTTGTGGTAGGACCAGGTTTTTTTCTTATTTCTAATCTGTCACAGATGAACAGTTTGGTAAAATACAATAAAAATGAATTACTAGAAAAATGAAATTAAAAAACCACAAAGATACAAAAAATACAATCCCATATTCTTTATAATTATAATCAAACAATGAGTTACCATTACAATTATGGGATATTACTAGCTTCTTATCTTTCTTTGGCACTGGAGAGACTGTAGAGCTTCAGGTATCCCTTTCCTAGACGGCACAAGTGTGGTAGATATATGGAGAAAATCCTACCAGGCCCTGCTGCAACCTTACGCTACTGTTCAGGCCTTGTGGCAGAACACCATATTTTAGTCCCATATTAAATTGGGAATCAACCACAATTCAAGGGTTAGGTATTTCAATGCAAGTAAATCACTTCTTTTGAATGTTATCTAAGATAAATTTCAAAGTGATTCTTATAGAAATTCTAAATGAAACAAGATAAGAAAACAGTGGTTCCAAAATTTTAACACAGGAAGTGCTCAACAGCAGCAGGCTGTGGAAGGGCAAACTAGGCTATCTGTCTGGAAACTGTACTTATTTGGCATGATTTTGGTGGGACAGGACTGAATTATAGCCACACAGGACATTTCTTCATGTTGACATTCACCACTATCAGACTTAAAAGTAGATTTAAGTGAGTTATAAGATGAGACCTAACGTACAGCACGGTGAATACAGTTGATAATAATGCTTTCGTATACTTGAAATTTCCTGAGAATAGATGTTAAGTGTTCTCACCACACACCAAAAAAATGGTAACTACATGAGGTGATGGATATGTTAATTAGCTTGACTGTGGTAATCATTTTTAATATATACATTTACAAAAAATGAAAAAAAAATTCACCTTATCTGTTTTAAAGATTCTGATTCCAAACCTATGTAGAACAAAGTACTTTCTAGGCCAAGATTCCTTTCAAATGATTTGTCTGATGGAAACCAACTCCAAGTTAAATACAATCAGACTCTTTAATACTACCAAAATATGTTTAAGAATTAAACTAATCCTTTCAAAGTGTTCTACCTGTCTTGTGATGAAGGATGTTTAAGATCCTTTGCCATTGAAACTACACTGCCATTATCAATCATCAATAAGAATGCCAAATATTAAAGGCAGTGATGGCTGTTTATTTGCTACTATAAAACTGATAAAATAAGACTATCAAACCTTTCATTTATTTCTGAGTAGTTGTTATCACAATTAGTTTAAGGAGAAAATTAACTTGCTTGACAGGCTTATATGAGGCCAGAGTTGACTGAAAACCAATACAAAAGCAGTCCTAAGATTGGAGGCCTTACTTTAATCACACTTTCTAAGGGCTCAAGCGTCTCTTTATGCAAATACTTTTCAAATGGACATTCTCCCCTCCCCCAGCCCCCAAACTGCAAATAGTAATTTCAAATCAAAAGAAAGGAAAGAAAAAATAACACAGAGATGTTTAAAGAGGAAACAGGCAATGAGGAGAACTGTTGTGCATCTTATCCTTCCAAGAATTTAAGAAATTCTCCTGTGTTATAAAGAAAAGAGGCCTCATGCCTTTTCTTTAAAGCTATCCAGGATTACCCATCATTAATCCCTTTGCTCTCTAGCCTCCCACATTTTCTCCCCACATTTTACCACAGACTAACCATAGTATGTCTTGAATTATGACAATTTATTTCATCTAATTCCTCCTTTGGATGACAAAGTCTTAGAGAGAAAGAGACCTTATCTTAATTATCTTGAATCCCCCAAAACACAGGGAATGTAGGGCCTTACAGGAAACAGGGTTACCAAGAAAGAATCCCACTTATGTTTAATGTGTGTCTGTGTTGCTTTTATAAAAGTGTATTCACTTATTTCATTTGTCTTGCCTTCTCAGTAAGACTAAAACTTAAGGCAATTAAAATTTATTTTTCTATATGTTTCTTCTTTATATAATCACATGAACTAATTTATAAACCAAACCTTACATCCATAAGTAGTAGTAAAAGTGCGTCAGCCACTAAGAATCATGAAACTAAGGAAAAAATTCTTATCACTAGCATTATACTTTAATCAGATTAAAAAACCTGATCAGTTGGTTGAATAAGGGAATATCTAGGTTATGCCTTTTTTTAAGTAATTTTCTTTAGGGACTGTCATCATGTTGTTGAAGTGCAGAGTTGTAACTTTGTGTGGATTATGGACAGTCAATAATATGTATTTAAAAGCTGCACTATTGCAAAATGGGTGTATTATCCAGGTGCTCATACACTTTTCTTTTATTGTTACTTGATTTTTATTTATTTTTTTAAAATTTATTTTTATTGTTGGCTGCGTTGGGTCTTAGTTGCAGCATGTGGAATTTTTTGTTGCAGTGCGTGGGCTCTTTGTTGTGGCGCGTGTGTGGGCTTTCTCTCTAGTTGTGGCGCGCAGTCTCAGTAGTTGCGACGTGCAGGCTTAGTTGCCCCATGGCGTGTGGGATCTTAGCTCCCTGACCAGGCATTGAACCTGCATCCCCTGTGTTGGAAGATGGATTCTTAACCACTGGACCACCAGGGAAGTCCCTGTTACTTGATTTTTAAACTTTGCTTTAGCCACTTAAAAACTGTTATGACACAATTTGCTTCAAATCCATTCCGAGTTGTATATTTGTTTTCTAATAAAAAAATTACAATTTATACCCCCATCCAAAAAAAGTACACAAACCAATTGTATATAAATTCAGTGTTATTTTGGGAGGTATTATCTGACTACAGAAAATGTCTCCAAAGAAACTGTCCACCTTGCTGCGTAACCTGCCTGAGCACTAAATTCCTATTTGCAAAATGCAGTTAATAATATCTGCCTCAGAAGCAACCTAAGTGTCCATCAACAGATGAATGGATAAAGAAGATGTGGCACATATATATAATGGAATATTACTCAGCCATAAAAAGAAATGAAATTGAGTTATTTGTAGTGAGGTGGATGGACCTAGAGTCTGTCATACAGAGTGAAGTAAGTCAGAAAGAGAAAAACAAATACTGTATGCTAACACATATATATGGAATTTAAAGAAAAAAATGGTTCTGAAGAACCTAGGGGCAGGACAGGAATAAAGATACAGACGTAGCGAATGGACTTGAGGACACAGGGAGGGGGAAGGGTAAGCTGGGATGAAGTGAGAGAGTGGCACGAACATATATACACTACCAAATGTAAAATAGATAGCTAGTGGGAAGCAGCCACATAGCACAGGGAGATTGGCTCGGTGCTTTGTGACCACCTAGAGGGGTGGGATAGGGAGGGTGGGAGGGAGACGCAAGAGGGAGGAGATATAGGGATATATGTATACGTATAGCTGATTCACTTTGTTATAAAGCAGAAACTAACACACCATTGGAAAGCAATTATACTCCAATAAAGATGTTAAAAAAAAAATCTGCCTCACAAGGATACTGTGGAAATTAAATGGGAGTAATGTACCTAGCACTGGGCCTGGCACAAAGAGACACCCCAGAAAGAGCACTTTCTTTCCCCTGACTACTGGAGGATGATTACAAGGAAAATGAATATCTTTCGATAAGGCCACAATGATTAAAATATATTTAATGAAACCATTCCCCTCCACCCCCCTTCTTGTTCATTAAAAGAAGCCATTTCCTTCTGGAAGTCTTCTCAAACTAACACAGCATCACACTAAATTACAATACTCCAATACATACTACTCTCCACATACAAGGTCCTATGTATGAAAGTGCTTTGTACACAGTACACTGTCATGGTAAGATAAATTATCATTATCACATGCTCATGTTATATTTGTACTTCATTTTGCTAATGATATAAAATGTAAGTTCATGTGCTTTCGTTATTTAAAATGTATGTTCACATGCTTTAGCTAGTACGCTGTAAACTCTTTAAGAATATTAAAGAGTTAATATTTAATATTTAACATTACTGTCGCTTCACAACATCTGGTTCAGGAACACATTCCCTAAGTACTCAATAATTAAATTTCTGAAAAAGTGTCAAAGTGACGGAAGATCTCTTCATATGAAAACCAGAATACATACAAATATTGTCACCCTAAATACTTTGCACATCAAGGTGGAACATAAATAAATGGACAAAATATTAATTAAATGATATTGTACGTAAATATTTTTTTCTAAATGAGCTTATTTATTATAAGCTCTAAATGAAAGAAAAATAAGAAAACAAAGACTTTTGAAAAGTATTTCAGTTACATTCTATAAATTTTCAGTGCAATGTATAAATGAGAATGGCTGTAACTTGCATTTACCTGTTTTTTAGCAGAGCTGTAAGGCTCTCAGAATTGAGTTGCTGCATTAAGGCCTCTCTCAGTGTTGGAAGCATGGACAGCACTATAATACAAACAGAAAATTAAAAAGGTCACAAGTGATAGGACTGCCTTCACTGAGAAATGCACATTGTTTTAGGCTATATGACAGGACTAGCAACTAGGAAGGGTTGGTAAGGAAGGTCAGGGCTTTCAAATTATTATTAAGAATAAAAACCAGTTACCTACTAATAAATCATTTATCTGCTCACGTGAAGCAAAATTATGCATATACATGTTATGATCATAGTGATGCAAACAAGTAAACGTAGAAGAAAGAATGGGAAGAATTATTCCCAAATGTTAACAGTGTTGGTCTTTGGGCTACAGACTATGGATAATTCTTTTTTTTTTTCCAGATCTTTTACAATAAATGTTTATTTCTGATTCAATAAAATGATCTTTTGTCTTTAGCTATACTTCTTGCTTCACATTTTATTTCTAATTTTAGAAAACATTTATTTCTTAAATACTACAAAGCAACAGGCATTTGTTACAACCTTAGACAAAAGTGCATCAGGCTAGGAATTAAGAGCTGCCGAGCTGTAGTTTTGGTTTTGACAATGGCTATTGTTCGAATACCAACATGAAGATACAATAAGATATAATACTCTATGGAAAAAAAAGACTGCATGTAATTTATGGGAGTTACTTTATTTATGGCTCTATGCATGGTATAAGAAATGTTGGTGAAATGTACATATATAAATTTAAAATGTATTTCTAACACTAAAGAAGTAGTGGTAACAAAATGAAAAAGTATCAAGAGATTACAAATGCCATATTCTAAAAGGGAAAAATTTAGTGTATGATTTTTACTTCTTGACAAGGCAAGATATTAATGACAAATCCATGTTATTTTTTTTCTATAGAAAATTCAGCTTTTAACCTACTCTAAACATTTATTTCAGTGCTGCATTGTGTAGCTTCAGCTTATTTCCTCAAGATATATGATTAAATCACCTAAGTTGTTTAGACCACTAACTAAAGTAGCAGCTCAGTCAATGTAAAACGTGGTTTCTCTCTTAGTGTCCGTGGTATATATATCTAGCCTAAACATGGTATTTTATCTTACCAAGAAAAAGCAACACTAGAGTCCTAAATTCAGAAAAAGTAGTAGGGAACTTTAAAGATTATGTGGTATGACAACATGATTTAAGAGGAATCTCTTCAATAATTCTCCTGAGAGATAAGAGCTTCTGACTTTCCACTTCAGCATACTCAACCAAAGACAAGGCTATTCTTCTCTTCTAGCCATCTGTACTAACACTGAACAAATATGTTTCTGTATTGAGTTGAATACAGCTTTCATGTCTTGCTTTAGCCACCTGGTCTCCATGATAAACATCCCCAGTCCAACCACAAATCACAGGACAACCCTTCACCAGCCTTGAATCTGTGTGACCCTGAGCAAATTATTTAACTTCTCTGTGCCTCAGTTTCCTCATCTGTAAACTGGGGATGACAGTGGATCTACCTTACAGGACTGTTGTAAGGATTAAGGATAAAAGGCATTAGAACAGTGCTTCTTTACACATGGAAATGCTCAGTAAGTGTTAGCTCTTTTTATTATTATCCTTACTGGGCTTCTTCTGACACATGCCAGTTTGTATCTTCTTAATATGTGAGAGGCAGAAATGGACCTCTGCTCTGACTACCACAGAGCATGTTATAACTACCTTTGAGCTGAACCACAGACTTTATTACTTCAGTCTAAGATTAAATTAGTATTTCCAGAAGTCACATCATACTCTGGTTCATAACAAGCTTATGTTCAACTAGAATTCCCAATCTTTCCTCATACGTCCTGTTTTTAAGCCAGCTTGGATAATTCTGTATCAGTACAATAGACTTTTAATGCAGAACAATTCTTTTATCCCAGTCTAGCACTTAAACGGGACTAGACTATTTTGCATCCCCAACTTCATTTGTGGTGTCAGTTATGCATGCAAGCATTGTCTCAACAGTGAGAGTGTAAATTTAATAAGCACTTCTCCCAAATCTTTAGTAAAATCATGAAGATGGTAGAGACAATGGGCAGGGCACAGAAGCATTCCATTAGATACTATCTTTCAAGTTGGGGTCAACTTCTTGGGTTAAAAAACTGATTATATTTACCTAAAAGTACTAACTTTTTCTAGTATGTCCATTACATCTTATTCAAAAGAATAGAAATTTAATTATATGATTCGTAACCCCATTATCAATACATATCAGAAAGCTAATTTGGAAATTTTTTCAGTGAGCCTATATTTTGGCTCTTAGTGGGCACCATATTTTAGTTTTAACTGCCTGTATCAGCTCTTCATTCATCTGAGGGGTGTGATGGTCATGGAGATGTGCCACTCGCATCTTCTGCTGGGAGGAGCATAATTAACTGACAGCTCCAGCTGCCACCCCTCTGGATCTACACTGCTCTCAGCCAATGACAGTGCTTGGTGGGGATACTAAAGCAGGCCCGATCCTGAGGGACTCCTCTACCAGGGAACTTAGGCTTGAGGACTCCCGACTGGCCTGCCAAAACTTTCTTAAAACCGTGCTGTAGTCAGAGACTCTTCTTACCTAACCTTCCTTCCTCTGCCTATTCTATTCACAACTATCAGACCTGTATGGTGGTCTAAAGGCTTTCCTTGCTTACTTCTGCTCCCTCCTCTTTATTCTGCATGGGTGTTCCCCCCAATCAGTCTCCTGCACATCTAATCCCATCTTAGCTGTGCTTCCCAGAGCACCTAAACTGCCACAAGGGTCCATGTCAAACTAAGATGTATTTTGAGATCCCAGAAGTCAGCATTTTTCATTTTTTGAAAATTTGAGTAATAACTGGAAATGAACTGTTCTTAAACTAGTGGTTAATAGTGGGGAGAGGGAAGGGGCAGGGGCAGTACAGGGGTAGGAAAAAAAAAGGATTATTTTGGAATTATATGAAATCATGTATGTGAAACTTTTGAAAAATGTAAAGCACTGAAGAATTTAAAGAATCTTTCATTCAATTAAAAAAAAAGAAAAGAAAAAAAAGAAATGGACTGCTCTTATTCTTTAAAAATTCATTAAAATGTCCTTGGTAGTACCACTACATTGAATGCTAAATATTGATTTAAAGAATTGTGTAATTTTTAAAAAGTTATATTACTGAGTATTTATTATGTACCAAGCACTTTATATGAATTACCGCATTCTCATAAAACATTTATGAAGTGGGTTTTATGATGATCATTTTATAGAGGAAAGAACTAGATTTAGATTTGCCCAAAGACACACAGATATTACAAGGCAAAACTAGTAACAGAACCAGATCTGCCTCACCCTTGAGCCTGTGCTCTTACTTACTGTACCTTATCTGAGTTGCCATTTTACACAACATTTATGATTAATTTTTGCTTTATAGATTGAAGTATTATTATTTCAAACATTAAAAATCATGGGACTTCCCTGGCAGTCCAGTGGTTAAGACTCTGCGCTCCCAATGCAGGGGGCACGTGTTCAATCCCAGGTAGGGGAACTAAGATCCCACGTGCCGCACGGCACAGACAAAAAAAAAAAAAAAAAATCATACTCCAGCTGAAATGCAATGTGTCTCTTAACCTTCTTAATCCCAGCCTCTTTATCAAATGAGACTGAGCTAAAAACAAAGTTCTTCCAACCTTGAAAAAATATTCTACTTTTAAAATTGAACAAAGAGAACCTACCTTTATAAATTTTTTTCTAAATTAATTGTTCTTGAAAGAAATGGTAGAAAAGCATTAAGCTTCAAACAATAACAAAGAAAAACAAGTTTGACATGGATTTGAGAACTAATTCTTCAAGGAGTTATTCCAATTATAACATAACACCTTGTTTTCTTCAAATATGGGCAGCTGATTTTGTTATAGCATCCTCCCAGTAGGTTTCTAGCTCTGGAGATTAAATTATTACCACTGATTAACACTGAGTGTATACTATTGTGTTAGACTTACAGGTCTCTAGGTGCCTTGTAAATGTAAGAAATTCTTTACTATGACATATATGGCCCAATGGCATCAGGCCCACTCCTGCAGCCCTGTCTCCTATCACTCTTCTTCCATTGCTCATGCTACTCTAGCTACACAGCCTTTTTCGCTATTTCTCAAATATGCCAAGCTTGTTCCCACCACAGGCATTTTGTATGGCTCCCTCCATTGTACCATTTAATTTCTCCTCAAATGTCACTTCCTTAAAGAGGTCTGACTCCTGGTTGCCCCACCTTAAAGAGCACCCCACCCCTCACACAGCTCATTCTCTTGTAAGCAGTCATCACTGCCTAAAGTCATTTATCTGTTGTTTATCATCTTCTTCTCTCACTAGTGAATAAACTCTGAAGGTCAGGTTTTTGTTTTTTCACAAAATTGACCAAATTGTTCACCTTCTGTTTCCCCAGTGCTGAGTACTGTTGAGTATTTGCTGAATGAATAAATAAAATGAATGAACAAGCATCTATGTTGCATATTAATTTACACTGATTTTCCAAATCCACATTAAATGATGTATTTCAGTTAAATCATGTAAATACTTGCTAGATTTATCATTTTTGCCTTTTCCTCTAACTTTGGTCCTGGAGGTATGCAAATTAATATAAATCATCAAACAACTTTATACATGTATAAATAGTTCTCTTTGTCTTACCTGTCATATTGCAAGTCCTCTGGTTACTTTCAAAATGATATTGTCGTCGTGCTTGGGCAATGTATTCTGCAGCCTCCCTTTCTTGTATTTCTCTGATTTTCTTCTGTCCATATTTCCCCAGGATATATATTCCTAAAATTATTTTTTAAAACAAGTTAGTATATTAATGCAGTTAATTAGAGTATTAAAAATTCTAAACAGTATTTTTAACCCACTTTATCCAAATATGAGGCTTATATTAGTGAAAAGCTAAAAATTACAACTTTTAAGAACCTAAATTAAAGAACTGTATAAGAATTGCAACCTGAAGAGAAGGAAAAGGAGACTGGCATTTTAAAAGCCAATGATAGATGGGTACATAAAGACTAGGTCTAAAGAAACAGAAAGGAATTAAATCTACAAAGTCAGGCAATGCCTTTAATAGTGAACTGGAGATATTCTAAATGTCCAGCAAAAGGGAACTGTTTAAATACATTATGGTCTAGCCACACAATGGACTCTTACGTAGCTATTAAAAACTACATTGCTAAATAGTTAATGCCTTAAGGAAACATCCATGTTATAGTGTTAGAGGATAAAATAAGATCCTAGAAGTTTTGCTTTTTAATGTAAATAAACATATATGACAACAGATGGGTTTTAATTTCTTACATATATTAAACAATGATCATTGCTAAATAGTGGGATAGCAGGTGATTTTTTTCCTTCTTCTTGCTTCTCTATGGTTTACACATTTTCTTCAATCAAAATATAATACTTTTTAAAAATATAAGAAAAAATTTAAAAGGAAGAATAAAAGAAAGGTAGGTTGTCAAGCAGACATCTAAAACTAGAAACTTAAGTAAAAAAGGGAAGGTGAAAAGGGTACAAAAATTCCTAAATTATGACACTATGATATAAAAATAAAGGTGGGGTCTTACGGCCTGTAATTTATTTACCACATTTCAGTATAGACAGTATAATATAAAATGTGCACATTTTGGTCATACCTTATAGGCATTCAGTTGTCCTGACTGGGAATGTTAACGCTCCAGTGTGGTTAGTTAGCATTTGATCAAAAGCCATAGTTCAAGGTTTAAGCATTTCAACTAACCTAGCAAAATGAATATCAGAAATGGCTTTTCACAGATTAAATGACTGGTGTTTAAGATACTGGGTTAGCTGAAACATTTTAGTAATATTCATTTGAACAAGAATATACGATAAAGTCCTTAACCCTTAGGAATGGCTTAGTCTCGGATCCTCAGCTGCTAGTTCGAAGGATTCTTAGTCAACAGGGTTAACCAAATGGCCAACAGAATCCTACATCTAGAATGCTGTTGCATTTGCTTTGGGTAAATCGTTTATGCGTGGTTCTGCTGTAGCACAAAGAAAGGACAATGGGATTTCAATGAGCTTATAGAAAAGTTATGATACTGTTTTACCTATCCTTGATAATAGATGTTTTAATGTGAGCCAGAATTTGTTTCATGATAACCTGGCAACAAGGCTGTAGGAGAGTAACTAATCCTCACCTACCTCCAACTGTCTGTAGCCTCCAATATAACAAGAAAGAACGTAAGAATTGTACATGACCTAAATAACTGGATTTGGTCTGTTTGTCACAGGTGGGAAGGAGGAAGCCCACTAAGAACTGCAAAGCAAACACGTATCCTGAATTATTTTCACTAATGTAAGCAATACAGATGAACTGATAACATGTTATATATATGTCTTAAAAAGACATTGAAAGAGTATGTGCTACAAATAATTAGAAATAAAGTGTGACTGCTGTTATGTCTAGATGCAAAAAATGTATTACAATCTCCTTAAAGAATAAATAAAAATTCATATAAATGTCTTCAGAGCTACCTTTCTTGTAATTCATCCTCAATAAACTGAAGACAGCGCCATAATACTAACAGAATGAAGCAACTAACTTACGTTTCACGAAGTAACCCTTTGACAGGCAACTCTTAGATAATAACTACTTCTCAATGAATTGCTTCTATTTTATTTGCACAACAGACGGCTAAAAGTTATGTGTAAAATGATTATTTCTCAAATAATAATAATAGCGTAAAATGAAATGCTGCAATGACACCCCTTGTATAGTTAAGAATTTTCTGGAATAATAGTAAGTTTGATTGGTCTATGTGTTTTCCTGGGGAGAAGGTCCACTGCTTTCATTAGCTTTTCAACAGTGTCTGACAAAAACACTTTAGGAACTACAGTTGACCTCTGAACGACTCCAGGGTTAGGGGTGCAGAACACTCCCTCCAGAAGTGGAAATCTGCTTGTAACTTTACAGTGGGCTCAATTCATAGTTTTGTGCCCTTGGATTCAACCGAGGATCTGTTGTGCTGCAGTATTTACTGAAAAAAGTCTGCATATAAGTGGCCTTGCACAGTCCAAATCTGAGTTGTTCAAAGGTCAAATGTATTGTGTAAGTGGCCCTGTGCAGTTCAAACCTGTTTTGTTCAAGGGTCAACTAACTGTCCTGTGTTTAATTTGGTAAATGTAGTATATTCTTACTAAAGCTAAAAGATAAATTATTATGGGTTGAAGTGTATCCTAGCCCAAATTAACATGTTGAAGCTCTAGTACTTCAGAAAGTGACATTATTTGGAGATAGGGTCTTTGCAGAGATAATCAAGTTAAAAGGAGGTCACTAAGGTGGGCCTAATCCAGTACGACTGGTGTTCTTATAAGAATGGGAAATTTGGACATAGACATGTGTACAGGAAAGATGATGTAAAGACACAGGGAGGAGAAAGCTATCTACAAGCCAAGGAGAAGGGCCTGGAACAGATCCTCTCTTAAAGCCCTGAGACGGAACAAATCCTGCCAACACATTGATCTTGGATTTCTGGCCTCCAGAATTGAGAGACAATACATTTCTGTTGCTTAAGCAACTCAGTTTGTGGTACTTCGTTATGGCAGCCCTAGCAAACTGATACAAGGCATTAGGCTAAAATCCCACAATCCATTATTTTCCTCGAGTTAGCACTGAAGTAAATTCCTATACAAGGACTAATTTACCCAGGCTCTCACTTGCAAAATTCATAAATTCTTATTTTGTCCGATTTGTTTCCCTACAGAAGTAAGAATGAAGGCAGAGAATTCATTACCTAAAATGTGGAGCTCAGGATACACCTGACTTGCTGCCTGAAGTCTGGCCCAGAAGAGAGTAGATACCGATGGCTGTGGCACCAACTAGGCAGGTAACTTTAAGCAAGTCTTTCCTCTCTCTGGGTCTAAATTTCTTCATAAAATGAAAGGCTGGGATTATATGAGCTTTAAAGTTTCTTCTTTACCTATGACTTTATTTATGAATAATGAAAACATTCACTAAATATCTCAAAGAATAAATGTAAAATGTTTTGACGTTTCCTTTCAGAACACTGCTGGTAAAGCAAAATATCTTCTAGCCTTCCCATATTATGAATTTGGTTTTCTAAAACCATCACTTAGTGCCTTAATGGATGAAAATCCTTCAGTATAACTATTTTACTAGGTTAATAACGTCAATAAGGGTTTGAAAATAATCTATTAACTTCACTCCCATACAAAAGACCACCAAACCCTTCTATTCTGATTCTATTTCAGAAATATTTTCTAAACTTTGCCACTTTAGTCCACTTCTCTACCACTGTCTTCATTCAGACCCAGATTATTAATGCTCTTGAACAGGTTTAACAGCTTCCTAACTCTCCTTTGTTTCTGGTCTCACACCTTTCCAATCCATCTTTTATATGTAAAGTGATTTTCTAAAACTTAAATCTGACTGTACTACTGCCATATTTAGAATTCTTCAACACCCTGCCATCATTTCTTAATGTACAGTCCCTGTTCCACTTACATCAGAATTACTGATGGGGTACTTGTTAAAAATGTAGCCTTGGGGCTCCCCTGGTGGCGCAGTGGTTGAGAGTCCACCTGCCGATGCAGGGGACACGGGTTCGTGCCCCAGTCTGGGAAGATCCCACATGCCGCCGAGCGGCTGGGCCCGTGAACCATGGCCGCTGAGCCTGTGTGTCCGGAGCCTGTGCTCCGCAACGGGAGAGGCCATAACAGTGAGAGGCCCGCGTACCGCCAAAAAAGAAAGTAGCCTTTAGGGAAGTTCCTTGAAAACATCCCCAAATGTTTTGTCTTATATGATGCTGTACCCCCAATATATAATATTGGTACACAACTGGAGCTCAATAAATATTTGTTGAATGAATTAAAGAATTAATGAACTGCACTCTGGACCTAAAGAATCAGAATCTCGGAGAAAGAATTCTATATTTTCATTAAGTCCCTTCAGTGATTTTTATCCATACTGAAGTCTGAGAAGCTCCAAATTCTGTAGAATGGCACAATAAGGAAGGCCCTTCACTATCTGCACTCTAGCTACTTCTCCAAATTTATCTTTTGCCACTCCCCATTTGTTCCTTGCGCTTAGCCATAGGGAAATACACTTTGATTCACCAAAAACAAGGTCTCTGAATCTGCTGAGCAACCCCTTTACCTGTTGTGCCCCCTTCTACTTTGCTAGCTGTAACTCCAGCGGATTCTTTTTAATAAATAAATAAATAATTGATTAATTTTGGGCTGCGTTGGGTCTTCGCTGCTGCACATGGGCTTTCTCTAGTTGTGTCAAGTGGGGGCTACTCTTCATTGTGGTGCGTGGGCTTCTCATTGCGGTGGCTTCTCTTGTTGTGGAGCATGGGCTCTTAGGCACGCGGGCTTCAGTAGTTGTGGCTTGTGGGCTCAGTTGCTCCATGGTATGTGTGATCTTCCCAGACTACGAATCGAACCTGTGTCCCCTACATTGGCAGGCAGATTCTTAACCACTGCACCACCAGGGAAGTCCCTCCAGTGGATTCTTAAGGGAGGCTTGCTGAACACCTCCATTATTCTCTCTCTCTATGCTCCCACAGAACCCTGCTCTATTATGGTACTCTAATACTATCACTGTACTACTTTTGTTTATTTCCATTTCTGCTTTCTGGACTGCACTATGAGTTCCTCAAGGTCAAGAATTGTATCTTATTCCTGTGTATCACCAGAGCCCAATATAGAGAGAGTAGGCCCTCTAATTCAAATGTTTGTTGAATGAATGAAAAACCAAAGAGACCAAACATTAAAGTTTTTTCCCCACCACTGAATGGCCAAGATTCTTGAGCATGCAAGTTGATATCTTACCTAGTTTGCAAATCTGTCAAAATGTGCTACTTCTTCCATGAAGCGCTTTCCTAATTATTTCCAACTGCACAGGCTATCTGCCAGTTTGATATATACAGCATTTTTCAGGTCTTATTGTTTTGTATTTTAATTATTTGTATGCTTCTTGCTGTGGTTTGAATGTTTGTGTCTCCCCTAAATTCATATGTTGAAATTCTAATGCCCTATGTGATATTAGAAGGTGGGAGTCTTTGGGAGGCGCTTAGGGCATGACGGTGGGGCTCTCAAGAATGAGATTAGTGGTTGTGGCCTCTCCCGCTGCGGAGCACAGGCTCCGGACGCGCAGGCTCAGCGGCCATGGCTCACGGGCCCAACCGCTCCGCGGCATGTGGGATCCTCCCGGACCAGGGCACGAACCCGTGTCCCCTGCAGCGGCAGCCGGACTCTCAACCACTGCGCCACCAGGGAAGCCCGAGATTAGTGTTCTTATCAAAGGGCCTTCACAGAGATCCCTAGCCCCTTCTGCCATGTGAGACTACAAGAAGTCTGCAACCCCGAAGCGGACCTTCACCTAACCATGCTTGTACCCTGATCTTAGATTTCCAGACTCCAGAACTGGGAGAAATAAATTTCTGTTGTTTATAAGCCACCCAGTCTGTGGTATTTGTTATAGCAGCCTGAACAAACTAAGTCATTTGTTTTCATTCCTTTTAGACCATAAAGTCCATGAAGACAAGAGTGGTGTACTGTGGAAAGAGAATGTGCTTTGGGATCTAACACACCTGGGTGTGAGTTCTAGCTTCCCTGTTACTAACTCTGGGAACCTCAACAAGTTTTTAAATTCTTAGCACTCTGGTTCCCACATTTTTGAATGGGGATAACAATAACTATCCTGTCATCATCCCCACTGAATAGAAGAGCTTAATACAGGGCCCATTGGGCACCCACAAAACGGTAGCTATTACTATTAAAAATCTCTGTAAATCTTGTATTTCCAATCATATTACCTTCAACACTACAGGCACTGGATAAGTATTTCTTAAAATTGATTAACTGATATGTACCATGTTATAGGACCTTTCCCTTGAAGCAGAAAGACTATGAGGCTCAAACAAATGCCAATCACGGTCATCTACTCTTTTTTCTTTTTAGACTGACATCCATTCTTGTTATAAAACACTAGGATTATTTTCTTTTTCTGTTCCTCTGAACCTCTTCCCCCCTTTCTCATTCCTCTTAATCTCTAACTATAAAGCTCTCAATAGATCTTTGAAAAAAATCTATAACTATCTTTCTTTTTTGAATTTTTGAATTTTATTTATTTTTTTATACAGCAGGTTCTTATTAGTTATCCATTTTATACATATTAGTGTATATATGTCAATCCCAATCTCCCAATTAATCACACCTATAACTGTCTCTTAAGTGTACTCTTTTGCTTCCCCTATGATTATTTCTAATCTACCATTAGGTTGTTCCATAAATCTGACGGGGTATGCTATTTTTTCTGAGATAGCTAAAGAGATACTATTTTCTTTCCTTCAGTAGAGGCAAAAATATTTTATTTATACTTCTTCCATCACACATAAATCATTAGTTTCTGCAAATAAAGTGGACTCAGTAGTCTTTGTGTAATTTAAATACACATTAGATATCAGTGCATGAAGATATCAGAAAATACATTTTATCTATAATGAATTTTTCAAAGAATGCCATTAAAATTTACATATAATCGAGGGTTTCCCTGGTGGCGCAGTGGTTGAGGGTCCGAGATCCCACATGACGCGGAGCGGCTGGGCCCATGAGCCATGGCCGCTGAGCCTGCGTGTCTGGAGCCTGTGCTCCGCAACGGGAGAGGCCACAACAGTGAGAGGCCCGCGTACCGCAAAAAAAAAAAAAAAAAAAAAAAATTTACATATAATCATTATTGATCTGTGGTAGACCTCAGAGAGGAGAAAAACATTCTCCTTGCCTCATTAACAAGAAGCCTGTTTCAAATTTTCAAGAATCAACAGAGCTGAATTATTGATGCTAAGAGTATTGCTAATTTCAAATTGTTTTGGGGCAATAGAATATAATCAATAGTAAGAGAAAAACAACCAAATTCTTTGGGAAACTTCTGCTCTTGTTTTTAACTATTTCTGTAACCAAAGCATGTAGTCAGTGATAATACTTCTCAAAAAACTCAAATGCTAAAAATTTCCTCTTAACAGTCCTACATTTCCTTCTCCTGTATCACACAAGACCTTTTATTCTCTCCTTTAGACCCCTGCATGATTGTCTTATGAGGAAAAAGGCTCTCAAGATTGCTATCTAATCTGTTTCTAAATCTCCTCTTAGCCTGTGCAACTCAGTTATGTGAGCTATGTGGGAATTCATCCCAATCTTGAAGATCCTGAGAAGATTGCACAACTTCCCGAAAGCACTTTCTTACTGCATAATTTACTACATAGTTTGTATTCTAAAACAGCAGAAACAGAGCTAAAATATTGATTTGTGTTTCTCTGTCTAGCATATACCTTCCAGTCCTTCAGTACAATTGTGCTGTTTTCAAAAATTCAAATTAACTTTGAACAAGCACTCGAAGTGCAGGCTTTAGTTAACTTCCCTCGAGTATTATGAAACTTCTGCGAACGGTGAATGCCAAAGTACTGGAAGTACCAAACAGAAGCGAAGAACCTCACAGTAAAACAACAGAAGAGAAGTAAAAAAACATGTCTGTAAGAGAACGGTGCCTTGAAACAGAAAAAAAAAAAAATGTGGTGGGTTCTCCCAAGGTGGGTGAGTAAAAGGCGAGAAACAGAGTAAGCGGCAGTGTCAGGGCAAAGGGCACAAATTTCATAACTGCAGAGATGTAAAGAACCCTGGAGGTTTGTCACCCGGTTCCCCGTCCCATGGTTGAACGAATCCTGGGCCATGATACCTCCACCTCTATTTTAGAAGGCAGACATCTCTCTCCCACCCCCTCCTCCCTATGCCCCTTTCCAAGAACGCTGTCACCCACCTCCGAGGACCGTACCCAGGAAGATGCATTTCTTTTTGTGACGTTTCAGAAAATTCCACGTAGATCTCAGCATCTTCAGGCCCTGGGGGTGCGGGCTGCCTAAAGGGAAGGAGGAATGGTTCACCAGGAAAACGTTTCTTCGTCGCCTGGCACGGACTACCCGGCTGGACCGCCGTCTTCCCACTCGGTGCTCTCCAAAAACCACGAACGCGACTTTCCGCAGAGACTGTCACCGGAGCGGGAAGGGGGCGGAGACTGTAGCTGAGCAGCTGCGCTTTCTGTAGCTGCCGGCGCGCCGCCGCCGCCGCCGCTCACTAGCCTGGGGCGCCGTGGTCCGTCTAGAATTCGCTCCCGAGTGCCTCACAGTTCGATTCCCCCGGAAACGACAGCCCGCCCCCACCGCGTTCCGTTGCCGCGCTCCTCCTCCGCCGCGGCCTCCGGCACTGAGCGAGGCTGCCCCGGTGCAGTATGGAGGCGAAGGTAGGGTCCACGCAGATTACGGGCGGTGCGTGCTCTGTGTTGGCGGAGGAGACCGAAAAGTGGATGGAACAGGCGATGCAAATGGTGAGGGGGCGGGACGTGGATGTATAGGGTGGGAATTTTCCCTGGCTTATCCTGGCCGAAGCATTCGAGTAAACGTCCCCGGGGGTGCTTTCTGGTCTCAGTAATCTCGATGGCGCTCGCATTCTCTGGGTAAACACCTGGCTTTACTGTCCTGAAATGTTCTTTAGCCCATTCTCACAGTGGTTCTGAGGAAAGGAAGAGACGAAATACAGAAATTATTTCTTTTTCACTTGTTTGAAGTATGCGCCGAACATCCCTATTCGGGGGCTGCTGGCACGGGCGTGCTGCGTCCCCTTGTTTCCTGTGGACATTCGCAAATCCTCGAAGTCACATTATTTTGTATTTATGACCTCTTGACTCTATCTAGTAGAAGGAAGGAAGCTGAGGATGTTTCCGGTAGAGAGCAGGATAAAAACAAGTACCTGAACAGCCAGATTCTCATCCATCTATCCATCCGTCCATCCATCCATCCTTTCACTTCCCTCACTCCTTTCAAGACTTCTGATTAAGGAGGGCTCTAATAAGATTTGTGTATAATCCAAGCTTTACCCATACTTACGTGTCCCATCGAACTCTTTAATAGGGATAAAAGTCTATTTGGCATATATGTATATATATATAAATCATGCACACACACATATATGCATATGTTCATTTAAACTTGTTCCTCATACTCTTTTGACAGTCACTCACAGTAAAAAAAAATCTATTTTGTATTACATTCCAGTAAACACACACAGATAAAATTGAAACAAAAGTTTTACAGAACAGTACTTAATCTTCCTATGTACAGTTTTCCTGGTATTTCTCTTTCATTGCATTTTGGAAAAAAAAATGCTGGTCATCACCCCTGATTTGATTTCATGACCCACTCTTTAAGCCCACTTCAAAATTTATTTCCCCCATTAAACTTACAGGATGCATAACTTTCTGTCTGATACTTTAATGTTCACATATACCTTTAAATAATTAATTTGTAATATGGAGTTGTTTGTTCTGAACTCCTTTTATGTTACTAAATTCTCCAAGTTGGAGACAAGGAGTTTTCATGTGATATCAAAAATCTCACTCTCCTTACCCCAAATCATTTCAATAATATCATATGCCTGGCGGCGCCTTTTTTTTTTTTTCTGGCCGCGCTGCGTGGCGTGTGGGATCTTAGTTCCCCCACCAGCGATCAAACCCGTGCCCACTGCAGTGGGAGCGCAGAGTCTTAAGCACTGGATGGCCAGGGAAGTCCCTGGGCAGCATCTTTATAAGTAGTGAGGATGATAATAAATGCACATGAAGGCTAAAATATCTCAGATTAAGCTGCGTTTATATCTTTCTATGGGCGAGAGACCTGGAGGCCAGGGAATGCTGGAATACTGGGAATTCGTGGTCTCTTCCATTTATTTTCATTTGCTTCAGGAACTCTCCTCAGAGTATTTATGTGGAGCTTGTGTAGATGAAAATTTGAGAGTTGCTGTCATAGAGGACTCAATAGTGGTTCCATAAACAGCTAAGTTTAATCAGTCTTTGAGCTTTTCCACTTTGTGTATCAGAAATGTGTTTTCTTTCCATCCTTTCATATCTTTGTACTATTCTCTAGTCTTCTGGACTAAACATTTGAGTCTTTACTACCTTTTGGTATGACCTTGGGCAAGTCACTTTATCCCCCTAGGGTATTGCTTCCTACTCTATAAAATGGGGTGGTTGAACTCCAAGTAATTTCTAAGCCCTCTCTGGCCTTGACATTTTTGTCTTTTAATTAGATTATAAACACCTAGGGGTGTGATTACCTAGTTTATCGACATAGGGTCAAGGAAGTCCTTAGTCTGCACTTATTTTTTTGGTTTTGGCCAATAGTATATGTTTCTCCCAGGACTTAAAAAAGGGAAAAAAGGGCTTGTCATAAACCTTGGGCTTTGTCCAACCATTCCCTCCCCACTAAAGAAACTTCAAATCTTAAATTATTTCAAAGAATTGTTGAAGTAATTGCAAGTGTATTATGTACTTCTGAGAAGAATTTATGATTAGACCAGAAGCACAGCTGGTACCAAATCTGGAGGCAGCAAGTTAATCTCTGATTAATGAGTTCTGAGGAACTTGAAAGTGAAATGTCCAGTATACAAGTAATAGGGAGGATACTAGCATCCCCACAGCACTTGTACAGAGTACACATATTTATATGACCAGTTCAAGTAATTAGAATGTTTGTCTCTGATGTTAGCATTTGTTGGGCAAAGGCCTGGAGGAATTGGAATGGAGATGGATTCTTTAAAGTATATGACCAAAGGCAGAAAACATAAAAGGAAAATGAATAGGTTTTAGTTATATAAGTATTGAAAACTTCTCCATATTAAAAAGATAAGATACAAAGTAACAAAGCAGATGACAAAGAGGGAAAATATTTGCAATGTAAATAATTTGCAATGTAAATAAATTTGCAATGTAAATAAAAGGACAGGTTTGATAACCTTAATATATAAAGAACTTTTACAAACTAATGAGAAAAGATGTACACCCTAATTTTGAAAAAGTCGAAGGATATGAACATGCTATTCTAAAAGAAATACAAATAACTAGCAAGTGAACCAGTGTGCGATTTCACTAGTAATAAATTAAATTCAAGTTAAAGAGTCACAATTTTTCACCTGTTAAATAGGCAAAGGTGAAAAAATTATAATGCTTGCTGTTGGTAAGGGTGTGTGTGTGAGGAGCTGGCTAGTTGGTTGCTGAAATTGGGGCAGCCTTTCTAGAGGGCAACTTTGCTATGTATATATAAAAAAGCCTTAAAACTAGTTTATCCTTTGATCCAGTAATGCCTTTATGGTATTTTTTTCCCCAAATGAAAATATTTTAATGTTTTCTTTTTCTGATTATATAAATAATTCATAGTCATAAGAAATTCAAACTTTAAAAAGATTTAACAAATTAAGTAATAATTACCTAAAAATCCTACCATCAGAGATAATGTTATAAAAATTTTAGGAGCATCCTTCCATGTATCTCTGTCCATGTGTAAACAGACATATATACTTTTTTCTTATATTAAATCTCTGTGCTAGGTTTTTTCAAATTTATTTTTTGACATATATATGTTTAAATAAATGAAATTACGTATTTTCTTTATGATTGTGAATATCTTTTTCTAGACGTAAATATTTCTTATTTTGGTTTGTTTTCCTCACCCCCATTCCATAATACTTTTATTGCTATGGAATAGATTACCAAAAGTGGGACAAAGGATGTATGTATTTTAAAACCATCTAGACATTTTAAGATTGCCTTCTAGAATTATGCTGCCCAATGTAGTAGCCACTAGCACGTGTGGCTATTTAAGTTTAAATTGATTAAGATGAAATAAAATTAGATATTCAGTTCCTCAGTCACATTAGCTGCATTTCAAGTACTCAGTAGCAACACATGGCCAGTGGCTACCATATTGGACCGTGCAGATCAAAGGATATTTCCATTACTACAGAAAGTTCTGTTGGATAGCACTGGTCTGAAATGGTCATAATTCCATCCCCAGTGTATGAGAATGTTCTGTCCTACCCCTGTTCCCACTAGCCCTGAAATTATCACTCTTTAATATTTGGCAATGTTATAGGTGAGAAGTATTATAATATCTGTGTTACTTTTTTTGTTGTTCTTTGATAAATTTATCAAACTTTAAATAAAGTTCTCTACACTTTATTATTGTTTGTAAAATCGCTATTTTTCATGACAGTTTTCTTTTGGAGAGCTAAGTGTATAATAAAGGTTATTGTTTTAATCATCAGAGCATATAATTCTAAGGGTGTAGGCTTAGAATCAAATAAAAGAATAACAGTGTTGCACTTTTACATTCCAGACACAGTGCCGTGGATAGTGTTTCATATAGGCCATAGTGTGTAAGCCCCATAGCAGCCCTACCCTATCAGGTGTGTATTATTACTGGCCTCATCTTCAGAGGGGGACATTGAGGTTTAGAGTGAAGTAAACTTCCCAAAGTTAGGGAACTGGTAAGGAGAGAGCTGTGATTTGAGCCCAGCCACCTGTCTTCACCCTGCCCTGCCTGTACTGAGCTGTGTTTGGTCACTCACTGCTCTCCGGTGTGCCCTACTGGACCTCTCTGCCTGTTCACCTTCATCCCACTGACTACAGTGTATTGAGCATCCTAATTAGACACTCGGATTGTTTTTTCTCTGTGAATTGCCTAGGCATATCCTCTTTTGCCCAACTTTATTATTAGTTTTATTTTAAAAAATCACATTGTAGGAACCCTTTGTATTTTATAGCTATTTCTAGGAATAATTCATAAGGAAGTGATGGAGATATAAAGTTCTTCCCTTGTTTATAATAGTGAGGAATTTGAAAAATAGCCCCATGTTCTAGTTAAACAATAGGGGACTAGTTAAATGAATCATAAATATTCATGTAAAGGAGCACCATCTAAGTTTAAAAAAATCATGTGCTGAAAAAATATTACTCAACATGGGGAAATGTTTGTAATATATTTCTAAATGAAAAAGGCAGACTGTTGAGCTGTTTATATAGTATAAATCTATTTGACTTTTTAGAAAACTGCGAACATGTATGTGCAGGCATAGAAAAAAACCTGAAAACTTTCTGTCACAGAATAATAACAGAGACCATATTTTGGAGTGTTGGGATTGAGTGGTTTTTATTTTTTGATGTGTGGATTTTTTTACCCCCAGGTTTTTGACCTTGAACATACTTACTTCATAGTTAGGAAAAAAGAAAGCATGAGTGTGTGTGTGTATGTGTGTGTGAGTGTGTGTGTGTGTATTATCAGAGGGTCAGAGATAGAGGGAGAAAAGTTGCAAGTTTTCTAGAATAAATCAATTGCGTATTATTGTTGCATTTTCTGGGCGCCTAGTATTACTATAATATTGTGCTAGGTCTGAGGAAAATTCAAAAAGACAACAAGCACAAACACGTGCGTTGTAACAAATGTGGCGTGATTTAGTGTTTCCTGTGTATTAGGCCTTGTGATGCGTGCTAGGCCTGCA